CGTACCAAGTGTCATTTTAATTAGAAGTTTTAGTCAGTGATTTATTATTGAAGCTTGTAATTACAATATCTAATGCTCCTATAAATACTTTAATTAATTGTTTGTTCCGTTATTCTTTTTCCTTCCTCTTTTCCTTGTCATCCCCTTTAGTTTTAAGATTCTTGCTATAAATGGCTACAGCTAACACTATTAATGCTAAGTACCAAACAACAAGTGGGAGGTGGATCGTTGGTATACCATTAAATCGATTTAACATCGCAATTCCAGTCGCAAGCCTGGGACCACTACTAGCATAGTCACAACATCTACAAAGCTGCCATATAGCCTTACTGACAATTTTCTCGACTGACTGACAATGTTTCTTCTTTTTCCCCATTTAGAATACAAAGATTAGTACATTTTAGCTTATGATTAATATTATATTTTTACCTATAGTTTACCTAGATTGCATAGTAGTTACTAAGCTAGTTGCTTAGTAGTTACTAAGTTACTTGCTTAATAGTTACTAAGCTAGTTGCTTAATAATTACTAAGTTACTTGCTTAATAGTTACTAAGTTACTTGCTTAATAGTTACTAAGCTAGTTGCTTAGTAGTTACTAAGTTATATTACTTGCCTAATAGTTACTAAGTTACTTGCTTAATAGTTACTAAGTTACTTGCTTAACAGTTACTAAGTTACTTGCTTAACAGTTACTAAGTTACTTGCTTAATAGTTACTAAGTTACTTGCTTAGTAGTCACTAAGTTACTTGCTTAGTATTTACAAGGGGCCAGAAATGTATGTAAAGTAATATCAGAAAACTTGTCGGTTAACGAACAATAAACTAATACAAAAAGCCTCGGTCGAGGCTAAACAAAACTGGAACCATGCGCCACCATCGATATAAGTCTAATAATGTAATAAAACTATAGTTCATAAACAAAAATTATACGTCACGCCACTAAAGGAAATATTCGTAAAAGACGTTACGTACATATATATATGTACGTAACGTACATATATATATATTTATAACGTATATATATATATTTATATTTAATAAACCGAAACCCCACCAATCTGCCTCAATAACTTATGTGTGCTATGTTTTACATAAGTATTGAAATGGATAACTCAAATATTGTTTGATAGTTGGGGACGAAGTGAGAGTCTCCACTCAGTGTTTCAAAACAAATAGTTGTCGACGTTTCGGCACACGCCTTTGTCATAGAGTATAGACAGGATGTTACAAATACAATAGCTTACATAGCTGCAATTTACAATGTTAAAATAATCTGTTGTATAACTATAAATATAACTATCAATATAACTGTGAAATACCTACAATATTTTACAAAACTCCATACTATACTCACTCCGTCCCCACCTATCAAACTATATGATCGACCCACTCATAAAAGCGAAGAAAGATTACCATAACTGAAATATTATTTGAAATTGAATCGAATATCATTTAGTCCTTTAGTCGACCTTACTTTAAGTAAAATTGATTTGATTTCCGTAAAATCGTCCCGCAGATGCATTTTACTATCTGAAGCACTTGAATTTAATTAATATTTTGGACAGGAAGGAACCATCTTGATTCGTTTTCTAACTTTTAATGCCTGCATAAGGAAAATTTAATTTAAGTCTGACATCAAAATGGTTCCGCGTAGACTTTAACGTGTTAAATCGAATACTATATTGCTGTTTTACTATTTTAATATTAAACTCTTTTGATCGTTAAATATTAACGTAATACAGGGATATTTTTCGCACGCTTTTAGTTTTATAAACATGATTTGTCCAAATTTTATAATTAAAAAGCACAATTCACTTGTTCAGAATTGAGATAATACAGAAACAAATGATAGACTAGCGATTATTAAAGAAAGTAGAATTCCAAGTGTGTTTGCTGAACAGCACGAGGGAAATCATAATATGCCACACATAGAGACATACCAGGTTTAATGGAAAATTTGATTGTTGATTTTTCCCAGACTAAATACCAGTCATTACTGGAATGTAAGCATTTCAAAATATCATAATTACCAAACAAGCCAAAAAGAGGTCGACAGGCTTTAAATTTAACTGCCTAACTGGAGAACATTTAAGCCAAAATTTTAAAAAACTTGGGAGTTCCAGTCTTGATCGTAAGTTAAATAATTGTACTAAGTCATTATAAGTTATTACTAATTGTAAGTCATTACAATCGTCAATGTTATCACCTTTTATAAGCAGCTGCTCAGTAGCGTTTAATTGACTGATCAGTGAAGAGCCGGGGAACGTATGCAGTAAATTTTAGACACTAATAGTAATGGCAGTTACTGTTTTAATATTGCTTACTATATATACTTACTAGAATACTTAGAGTAGGTTTGGCTGGGATCAGGACAACAGTATCAAGTACGTCCTCCTTTCACTCCGCTGGGGTATTTTTTGTAAGTACTATTCTTACTAGCCCTCAGAGGCTCTTGAAGGTACTGAAACTTAAAAGGAATATATTATCATGTAGCAGCTGATTATAAATCCAGGTTAATGATGATATTTAGTTCAGAAAGTCTCGTGAAAGTAATATCTCGTATGTCTTTCAACAACAGCCCTTATTTCACAGGAACTGAAAGAGGACTGTAGTTGAAGAAGTAGGAGAAAGTAGAAGAAGTAGGAGAAAATATTATTAAACAGACTATACTGAGAATATAATGGTAGCTTGGAAATTAAAAGACATAAAACCTCAGAAACACAATAGTCAGCTTAATGGCTGAACAATAAAATTAAGAGGAAGATGAGACGCGAAAAGCTTTAAGCAAGTTTTTAGCGTAAGTATAATAGTGCAATAGAATTATGATCCATCCATTCCATTTCAAGCAAATTTAGCTGAGGCGTAATCTTCAATATTCGAAAAGCATTTGGAACTACATGAAATTCAAAGCAGGGAGAGATGTCTATACTCTATATTAAACAAAACTGTTCAAAGAAACCTTTTAGAAATGATTAAATTATAAAATGATCGTTTAGCATATTTAGCGCAGTGAAACCATGGTTAAAAAACTAGGGGTGGGGGACAACCCTGTTGCCCATTTATTCCCCAACTTTTAGTCAAATGGGCATGGCATCGATTGGCATTGCTGTTTTTAAGCCTTAAAAACAGCTAAAACTTGAGTTATGGTGAAAATAAACATCGCCATCGTGATTGCCGTCCTCTGATTAATTAGCAAGTACACTGTACAGCTATTATATTATATACTAATAGTTATGTTTTAATTTTTCGATTTTGACCGATTTTGACCAAATGATGAAAATGACCCCTTTATTCCTTAACTTTTGGTCGAATATCGATAGACAAAAATGAGGTTGCCCCCCCCCCCCCCCCCCCCACCACGCCACTCCTAACTGTTCTTGTCAGTTGTCACCACTTCATTAAACTGGCACTGACTAAGTAACACAGGCGTTATGCAATTATAAACTCGATCATTTTATTTCATTAAAATATTAACGTCAAGTAAATATGAAAATTCAGGTTATATTTCTGCCAGAAATATAACCTGAATAAATAATAATTTCTGATTACTAGATGTTAATTAATTGTTAATGTCATTCACCAGTTTAATTGGAAAATTAGTGTTATAACTTAGTATTTCTCTAGTGTGTTAGCTTATTATGATTTCGGTAGCGAAGTATGAATTGCCACTTAGTTGAATTTGTTGTAATGTAAAAGACCAATTTAGACCAATTTAGACCAACTAAGAGCAACTTATACCAACTTAGACCAACTTAGACCAACTTAGGACAAGAGAAGTTGCTGTAATTGACAAGAGAAATAACGAGTAGTTTAACAAGAGTAATGAAAATAGCTTTGTTGTCCTGCGATTATAATTCCAATTTTAACACTCCGGTACGATATATCTAATAGTAATTGTTTTGTGAGGAACTAACAAACCTGTATAAACTTACTAAAGACAAAATAATTGTGCAAAGTGCCCGTTATAGTAGCATCAGAAGGCCATAAGTAAAAGGAAATTCGAGACGAATGAATACCTTAAAAGATGAAAGGAGTATTTCATAAAAATATCAAAGGTCGAATAAAGACAAATGGAACAAAGTTTAAGATCCATTCTGAAATTAAATGCTTTAAAAGATGAAAGGAATAAAATGAAAGGAAGTTAAGAACTCAAAGGTTTCACTCTCCCCTGACCTCTTAGCTTACTGTCCACTAATGCCAATCGCTAGAAGGTTAAAAGGTAGCAAGTTATATAATGATCTGCGTGAACACTGGTAAATTTGCTGCTTGACAGCTTGAAGGAATGAAGATCACCTTGCCTCTCTCATTACTACTATCCTAGTATATCCTGTACACATCCGACAACGGACGATTTAAAATTTAATCTACTGTCGAGCATGCACTGGTCGACGTCCTAGCGTTTTGTAATAACCAAATCAGCTCAAACTTTAAATTTAATTTTTCCTAGCTACACAAATACAATTGTCAAGAAAGATGTTAATTAACGACGACCAGACTGCTAAGTAACTTAGAATATTTGTAGGTTCACTTAGTAATATGTAAGGATGATTTTAAGGGCGTTTTTTGACGCAATATGCAACAGGCGTCACACTGCCACTGGGCGGTTGCCGGTTTGCTTTAGATAAGAGAGCCATATTATCATATTGTTTTAAATATTAGATAACTTTATTACATTAATATTATATTTTCACTTCGAGCACTCGTTGCATCCATTACCTCGAATAATAAAGCTGTATTATAAAAGCGCACTTTATTTTATTTTTAAATCTAAAAATCAATAACACAAACATGAGTCAAAAATATAACTGCACTTTAGCATCAGACAGCAGCGTCTTTTAGGCCATTAAATGAAAAAAAGCTTTAAATCCTGACGTTTTTGCAAGGTAATCCTGAGATTTATTCGCCAAGCCTATATTTTTATTTAAGCCTCTAAATGTTGCAATAAGCGAATCTTCTTAAAATAAAGCATTAAATTCTGACAAAATTTGTCTGTTTCAGAGCTCGACTATACGGACACCTAGTAAGAAAGGGGTTATTGGAGACACCTTTCAGACAGGAAATGTTAACAGGATCGAGGATGTGGACAGTGACGAGCGATTTAATAAGTAAGTGGGTGAAATCACCTGTCATGCAGTGCAGATGCAATATTCGGGTGCCCGAATTTGGGATAGAAATTTGGGATAGAACAAAAATTCTAGGGACGACATCTAGCGTCATCTAGCGTCATATGTTGCCGCGACATCTGACGCCATCTAGCGACATCTGACGACATCTGACGCGACGACATCTGACGCAGGCGACATCAAGCGCTGGATAGCGGGATAAGTCAGTTTACGACAGTTCACGCTATCTAGCGCTATATAGCGCCAGATAGCGCTATATAGCGTCAGATGTCGTTGCGACATATAGCGCTAGATAGCGCTAAATAGCGTTAGATAGCGCTAAATAGCGAAGAATTTCGGGTCGTGACAGTCCAGGCTATTTAGCGCTAGATGTCGCTATCTAGCGCTATATTTCGCTGACGTCAGATGTCGTTGCGTCATATATCGCTAGATAGCGTTAGATAGCGCTGCATCAGATGTCGTCGCTACATATAGCAGAAGATATCATATCCTATCACAGTAACAGTAACCCTAACCCTGTGTGTGTGTGTGTGTGTGTGTGTGTGTGTGTGTGTGTGTGTGTGTGCGTGCGTGTGTGTGTGTGTGTGTGTGTGTGTGTGTGTGTGTGTGTGTGTGTGTGTGTGTGTGTGTGTGTGTGTGTGTGTGTGTGTGTGTGTGTGTGTGTGTGTGTGTGTGTGTGTGTGTGTGTGTGTGTGTGTGTGTGTGTGTGTGTGTGTGTGTGTGTGTGTGTGTGTGTGTGTGTGTGTGTGTGTGTGTGTGTGTGTGTGTGTGTGTGTGTGTGTGTGTGTGTGTGTGTGTGTGTGTGTGTGTGTGTGTGTGTGTGTGTGTGTGTGTGTGTGTGTGTGTGTGTGTGTGTGTGTGTGTGTTACTCATACTGGGACCGTAAGCGCAGCTTGTTTTTTTCCACCCAATATTTTTTGTTATTTTTATTTTGTATGAAAATTAATTTTTACTGTGTATGAAAATTAATTATAATTTAAGTGAGAATGATATAACTATAAGCTTGCGCGTCGAAGTCACCCAACTATTACACTCGATTTATTAAATATTCGGCTGAGTGGAACAAAATATTAAATATCACTTATAATCAAGGGGTCGTTTACATATTATAATTATATAAGGGGCCTGATGCCGCCGGCCGGGGTTTTCCAAATTATTACGCTCACTAGTGTGATTGTGACATAATACTAATAGCAGAATAGCTTAATAGCTATGTATGGAATAAGAGGACTTCGCCGCTTCGACGCGCCGCGCCTATTGTCATTCTTGCTTCGCATCGAATCGAGCAACGATTGTTGCTCTGCTTCGCAGAGCACCGAACTTGATGGGTTGACATCGTCAATCAATTACTATACAACTCCAATATCCAATAAATTTTTGGACAGTTGTGAAAGCCCTATTGGAAGGTTTTTACAAATTTTCAGAATGATCTCATTCAAGGAACGAAAAATATATCCGCGCGAATAATACGTCCAAAATTTTAAACTCACTTTTGCTCCCAAAGCCACGCATCACCAATTTTGTCAAGTTTGCGAAACTCACTGATGATTCCAAAAACGTACAACAAAATTTATATTGTAAAAAGGCTCACACTCTCCAAAAAAATGTGAACAAAAATTTTGAAAATCCGAGCAACTTTATTTTTATCGTGCACCTCCAACTGGAAAGACGAAAGGTATGACATCGTTAATATTCGCTAAACGATCAAATCATTAATTTTTTATCACGCGCCGTTTTTTCTCAAAATATTAGTCCAAGCCAAGAAGTACGAAGTAGCGCGCGTCGGGCTACTTAGTCCATTAACAATGATCAAATCATTTACTTGTTCATAAAAAATTTAGCACATATTATAGGCTTTTACTAAATTGCTCGCCCAAAAATTTCACGTGACTTTGGTTTTTTTGGTTTTGCAGCCGTACAAAACGGTTTTACATAAACCCTAATCCCAACCCTAACCCTAACCATAATCCCGAAGCTATCGATATTCTTAACCACAAACCTAACCCTAACCCGAGCCCTAAATAATCGAATTCACGTTTTACTAGCCTCAAGCCTGTCACGTGACCAAAACGGATTTTTGCCCATAACTCTCCAGGGAAGCATTTTAACCCTACGTCATGGGGGGTGATTCGGAATCAGCGTCCAAAAATACACCGATCAAGATAACTTTTATGACTAAAGCCAAAGGGCCTTTTCACAAGAATTGAATTTTCTTCAAATTTGGGCGAGCGATTTAGTACTAGTATACTACTAGTAGGAGCGCATATTATACGTTACTAAATTGCAAGTTATTCTGCTTGCCAAAAATGGAAACACGATGTAGTCGTATTTATATTATACTTTTCATTTTCTCATAGCCACGAGTCTACAGTTTACTGCTCGCTATTGCTTGAAGCTATAAGCCTTACTGTGCCGCGCCGCGCATCCAATTGCGATTCTCGCTAGATCTGCGAGATACACTTCTGTGCCTTGCCGAGCTGCGATGAATTGACATTGTAAATTATGGCTCAGGTTAGATAACTTTGATAGCTTTAGGGTGAGGGTTTTGATTCACATATGACATGATAGCCATGTGTCTACGCGTACTGCATGGACTGTCGCAAAACGACATCCTTCATTATGCGCCGCGATATCTAGCGCAAGCTGTCGCCACGATATCAAGCGCTAGATAGCGCTATCTAGCGCTATCTAGCGTAAACTGTCACAAACCGACATTCTCCGCTAGATAGCGCTTTCTAGCGCTAGCTGTCGCCGCGATATCTAGCGCTAGAAAGCGCTATCTAGCGTAAACTGTCACAAACCGACATTCTCCGCTAGATAGCGCTAGATAGCGCTGCGTCAGATGTCGTTGCGACATATAGCGTTAGATAGCGCTAGACACCGATAGATGTCGCAAAAAAATGCGGACATTTTATGAAAATAGCGCTATCTGTCGCCTGGCGCCAGTGCTGCGTGCCTAGCGTCATTTAGCGTCATCTAGCGTCATCTAGCGTCATACAGCGTCATATAGCGTCATGTACCGCTAGATAGCGCCAGAAAGCGTCAGATAGCGACATTCGAAAGGTGCCGTGCAATTAGCGACAATGTTGCTAATTGGCGTCATCTAGCGTCATCTATCATCATCTAGCGATATTTCACGCTAGATGACGCTAGGTGACGCTAGATGACGTCATATGTCGAATTTCAACTATCAGCGCTTTTTAATTCCGTTCCAACCGGTATTAATAAAAACACACACACACACACACACACACACACACACACACACATACACACACACACACACACACACACACACACACACACACACAAACACACACACACACACACACACACACACACACAAACACACACACACACACACACACACACACACACTTCTGCTATATGTAGCGACGACATCTGATGCAGCGCTATCTAACGCTATCTAGCGCTATATGACGCAACGACATCTGACGTGCAGCGACATATAGCGCTAGATAGCGACATCTAGCGCTAAATAGCCTGGACTGTCACGACCCGAAATTCTTCGCTATTTAGCGCTATCTAACGCTATTTAGCGCTATCTAACGCTATCTAACGCTATCTAACGCTATCTAGCGCTATATGTCGCAACGACATCTGACGCTATATAGCGCTATCTGGCGCTATATAGCGCTAGATAGCGTGAACTGTCGTAAACTGACTTATCCCGCTATCCAGCGCTTGATGTCGCCTGCGTCAGATGTCGTCGCGTCAGATGTCGTCAGATGTCGTCAGATGTCGCTAGATGGCGTCAGATAGCGTAAGATGTCGCGGCAACATATGACGCTAGATGAAGCTAGATGTCGTCCCTAGAATTTTTATGAAAATAGCGCTATCTGTCGCCTGGCGTCAGTGCTGCGTGCCTAGCGTTATCTAGCGTCATACAGCGTCATACAGCGTCATATACTGTCATGTATAGCGCTAGATAGCGCCAGAAAGCGTCAGATAGCGACATTCGAAAGGTGCCGTGCAATTAGCGACAATGTCGCTAATTGGCGTCATCTAGCGTCATCTAGCGTCATCTAGCGTCATCTATCATCATCTGGCGATATTTCACGCTAGATGACACTATAGATGACGTCATATGTCGAATTTCAACTATCAGTAAAGGTCCGAATCATGTTGATGGGGTAAGCGGTATAAAGAACGGTGAATAAAAAGTGATTATAATCGCTAATAAGCGCTTTTCAATTCCGTTCCAGCCGGTATTAAAAAGAAGCGCTTATAAGCGCTTTTTTGTACAACCACGTTTAGAACCATGTTGATAGGAAAAACGGTAAAAAGCGGTGGAAAAGATTAAAAAAGCGGTAAAAAGCGGTAAAATAAAAAGCGACAATAAGCGACAAGGAGCGACAATTGGCGATAAAAAATCGCTTATAAGTGGTTTTTTAAAAAGCGCTATGTAGTCGCTCTGTAGGCGCTTTCAAAAAGGCTAAATTGCAGTCAACGTATAATCGCTTATTTATCGCTTATAAACGACGCTTATAAGCGCTTTTCTGAGTGGCCGCTTTTCCAGCGCTTATAATCGCTTTATTCTTGGAAAAATCGCTTTCGAAGCGATTTAATCGATTAGAAACGACCAAAAAGCGATTATAAGCGCTAAAAAAATAAGGTAATCGCTTTTAAAAATATTTACAGCAATTATAATCGGTTATGAGCGCTTTTATTTGAATCAATTATAATCGCTATAAAAGCGATTATAAACAGCCTAAACCGATTATAATCGCTAAATAAGCGCTCAGTAGGCGACAATGAGCGCTCATAGTAAAATTTTATTTATGGAAACTTGCCCAATATTGATCCTGTTAATTGTTGAAGTAAGGGTCAACTATTTCCCTAACGCAAGAAACTAATCGCCGTAAGTCTTATAATACTGAGTAACAAATAGTGCGCATATTAATTTAACAATTTGGGTTCAATGACATATCATTATCTTAACCGGTTCCATCCAAACAGGGAGATTGACAAGCTGACAGGCTTCAAGACACGTAATCTACTGTGTATACCAATACACTCTGATAAGGGAATAATAGGGGTCACGGAAATGGTAATAAAAAACTTGTAAGTTTTATTATATTTTTATGTTGGACATTAATTAATATTGAGGTGAAAATAGCCTCAGAAACTGCAGTTGGCCCCCATAATTGACGTCAAAACATTTTTGGAGTTAAGGTATTTCTGCACACACGAATGTTAGAATAACCCAGTTTATTATAAAACAGAGGGCTGCATTCCAAATGCTGACGTTGCTTCACCACCATTCACCGCCGAGTGTTCTCAATAGCAAGAACTTATTGGTCAATTTGCTAACAAATTACATAGGTAGTTGACTGATTACATATACTTCCAAGGAGCGAGGATTTTCCCTGAGTGACGAGCGAGCGTTTTACACGCTGACAGTTTTCTGTGGCCTAGCTCTCTATACTAACAATCTGGAAAGGAGACTCGCTAGAGTGAGTTATTGTGGTTCACTTTGTACTGACTAGAGTGAGTTATTGTGGTTCACTTTGTACTGACTAGAGTGAGTTATTGTGGTTCACTTTGTACTCGCTAGAGTGAGTTATTGTGGTTCACGTTGTACTCGCTAGAGTGAGTTATTGTGGTTCACGTTGTACTCGCTAGAGTGAGTTATTGTGGTTCACTTTGTACTCGCTAGAGTGAGTTATTGTGGTTCACGTTGTACTGGCTAGAGTGAGTTATTATGGTTCACTTCGTACTGGCTAGAGTGAGTTATTGTGGTTCACATTGTACTGGCTAGAGTGAGTTATTGTGGTTCATTTTGTGCTGGCTAGAGTGAGTTATTGTGGTTCACTTTGTCCAAAAGCTAAAAAGTAAAGCTCGAAAACCAGCGACTTGTTTAAATAACCAGATACTAATTAACAGATGCTGACGGCTCGAGAGATAAACATGAGCGTTTTGAACTACTACCGGGTTTGTTCACAGGACGAGTGTGACGTCATAGCCGCCCTGCCCCCTATGCAGGTCTCTTCCTTTCAGCTCTCCAGGTTATTTACTAGTTTACCTACCCTGAATACTGCCCACTCTTATGAGTAATACTAAATGTTTTCTCTCGTGTGGTTAATTCCAATACGGATCACATGATTGAGACCCACACCTTGCCATATTATTATTATGTCAGGTACGATTTTGACACGTGGAGTTGCAGTCAGGAGACTCAAGTCAGACTTTTTATCGGACTATTTGAGGACCTTTTCCCGGGACTCTACGACAGAGACTTACTTATCAGATTCACACTTACTGTCAAGTTCGTTAAATTGTGGCAAATTATTTCAAATACTTGTTACCCACTCCTTTTATAGGATGCAGATACATGGTACAATCATATGCTTTGACAAGACCAAATTAGTACCAATCATTTCCAATACTACATCATTAGACAGTTAGAATTCGGTGTTAACCATTTGATCCTTTGTATCAAAGTGCTTATATAATATACGCACTCTTTTAGTGATTATATCATCAAGATAAAAGCTCGAATACTGCTCGAATCCTCCATTTTTATCTTCAGGAAGAACTACCGAAAAGTAGCGTACCATAATTGGGAACATGCCTTCTGCGTGGCTAACTGTATGTACTCGATATTAAAGTCAAACCAAGTCATGTGCTTTACTACTAATGAGGTGTGTATGATTACATATATTTATTACAGAATTATATATTGATAACATACTTCGTAATATTATTACCGTATCTTATGATTACAAGGATAGGATAATGGCGGTGCTGGGCGTTTTAAAATGATCCATGATCAGCCACCAATTGTCCTGAAAGCATTCGAATTATCAATAGGTAGATCCAATTTTGATTAATATGAAACTAGAATTGTGAAAAATTGTGCGGGAAGTTCCGAACTGTGCAAACAATTCGAAAAACAACTGTTAGTGCAAATATGTGCAGAAAACGGCCAATAGTGTCTATACGCTCCCTCCGCACTAATGTGTTGCCTGTGTTTCTCAGTAGCTCAAAACTGATTCATGAACTCGAAACACGGATTTGTTTTTCATCAAAATTAAAACAAATAAGCCGAACGAAAAAACGCAGAAATCTCTATCAAATTAAGAAAATTTCTTGTTCTATTAAACTTTGTTGGCTGACTTGATTTGTTTTTCAGATGTTAGCCTTATTTGTAGGGTGCATTTGTCATGATCTAGACCACAGAGGTTACACAAACAGCTTCATGAAGCTTACCGCACACCCCCTCTCTGCTATCTACTCCAGCAGCATCATGGAGAATCATCACTACGAACAGACCCTCCAGTTACTCATGGTAAAAGTCACTCTCCAATACTATAGATTTTGTTATTGAACGCTTGATTCACATTTTGCTATGGGAACTTTGATAAGGTTTTAATAATATAAGAACAAAGTGCCATTACAAGACTGTGTTTGACAAAAAACTTTTAATTTTTCAGCAAAAAGATTTGAACGTGTTTGCTAATCTGAAGCCAGATGACTATGTTAACGTAATCGCGATCATGAAGCACGCTATCATAGCAACTGATCTTGCTCTTTACTTCGACAATAGGACCACTTTAAGAGAGCTTCACAACAAGAATTTGTAAGTTTATCATTATGTTCTTTTTTGTATTAAGCGTTCTGTAGTAAACTTCCTCCGACCGGAATCAAACTTTCGGCACCTCAATTGTGTCATATGCTATCTATAATAGTTAAGCGACAAATTGGTAACTGTGAAATTTCTGTCGGGGAAATTCCGTCTTCAAAAACTGAAAATGGGACAAAAAATGGGAGAATACGATTTTTTCATTTTTCGACAATTTACCTCAAAACTGAAATTCCGGCCCATACCAGGATATTAGAATTTGAAAACATCCAACATATGAAGACCGATTTTGTCTGGTGTCAGTTATAATTAACCTTATCTGCAGGTTCAACTCTGATGACAGGGAACACAAGCAGAGACTCAGAGCTCTGATCATGACCTGTTGTGATCTCTGTGCGGTAACCAAACCATGGAATGTTCAGAAGATCGTTGTGGAGCATATAAATGAAGAATTCCACAACCAGGTACTGCACTTATTGTACATTGTACTGTAAACATAGTACGGGGGGTACCAATGGCATAAATGGCATAATGGAGAATTGGCCAAGCAAAATTTCCATTTATGCCATGAAATTTCTATGCCATTTGACGATTTTTATGCCATTTGTCTCCATTTTATGCCATTCGAAATATGAAATTTTAAAACTTTGAACTGAGAATTTAATAACGAATAGTCTGCACCCCACTAGTACTGTCCACCTTTATCTCTATTTGTTGTACTGACCCTGGTCATTAGAAACACCCCTAAAAGTTCGTTTTTTGACAAAAAATTTAAAACTTCTGTAATTTCATTTATGTTTTAGTTACGCATTTGATTTTTGGTATGCGTATAGAAAATCGATACGGCTTTAAAATGAGATGTTCGGCGACCTCCTAGCTCACTCACTAGACTCAGTAGGAGTGATTTAACTGCGAGGGACAATTGAGGCTAACAAGTTAGCCTCACCACTTTCAAAAAAGAACTTTCTCATGTTACGTCCATGATATCCAAGTTGCAAGTATAATCCATAGTGATTATACTTGACCGAGATCTAAGCTTTAAATATTCGAGGTGAAAATGAGGCTAACCACCTTTTGAGAGGGTGAAATGAGGCTAACAAGTATACTTTTGTGTATATTTTCGAGTTGGTTCGGTATTGTGACTATCTAATATGTCAACAATAAAGATTGATTCATCCTCTTCAAACTCAACATTTCAGAAATCGCCGAGTCTACTTGTAGGAGGCCAAAATGAGGCTAATAAATAATTCGACCGCATTTTAACTTTAATGTACGGAAACAGGTTAACAGCTCACACGTTACTTGATATCCATGTTGCACATGAAATTCCTTGGGATTATATTTAATCGGTATTTAAGCTTCAAATATTCGAGGTGAAAATGAGGCTAACCACCTTTTGAGAGGGTGAAATGAGGCTAACAAGTATACTTTTGTGTATATTTTCGAGTTAGTTCGGTATTGTGACTATCTAATACGTCAACAATAAAGATTGATTCATCCTCTTCAAACTCAACATTTCAGAAATCGCCGAGTCTACTTGTAGGAGGCCAAAATGAGGCTAATAAAAAATTCGACCGCATTTTAACTTTAATGTACGGAAACAGGTTAACAACTCACAAGTTACTTGATATCTATGATGCACATGAAATTCCGTCGGATTATAGCTTCAAATTTTCGAGGTGAAAATGAGGCTAACCACCTTGTGAGAGGGTGAAATGAGGCTAACAAGTATACTTTTGTGTATATTTTCGAGCATGTTCGGTATTGTGACTATCTAATGTGTCAACAATAAAAATTTATTCATCCTCTTCAAGCTCAACATTTCAGAAATCGCAGAGTCTTCTTGTAGGAGGCCAAAATGAGGCTAATTAATGATTCGACCGCATTTTAAGTTTTAACTTTAATGTATGGAAACATGTTATAGACCCACTATAAAACTTGTAATTGTAGCCCGAAGGTTATTGAAACTTTATCGAAACTTATGTGAGGTTGGATTGAGGCTACCTTCCCTCCTTGAGGCAAAATTGAGGCTAACAGATACACTACGCAGACAATTGTCACTGTGCCAGCTATCAAGTAGTTGCTGAGCAGCAGCAGCAGTTAGATGAAGAAAATGAAGTTGAGGAAGGAAATGTATTAGAGCTGTTGGCTAGAGTAGGCCCCTTACTTCTATGGAGCTCTCTGGCCAATTGCTCTGGCAATGCTCTCCATGGGGCCATGTAATATCACATGATCTGATATCATGCCAAATTATACTCTAAACTATAAAGTATAATAAAAATGGAACTGTTTGAGAAAAAACATTTTTCGTTACTTGGAAAGAGAATACTTACTCAGCTGTCAGCATAACGAATCAGACGTACCTTGATCTTATATGTACTTGTGACGGTCTTGTTTTTTATTTAACTCTGCTGAAGAGGCAATTCCCTAATGCTGAAATCGTCACTTATTACCTTGGAAGTGATCAGAATGAGCAGCTGTTTGCATTTATTCAGGTTTCTTTTTCATCTGGTCGCTCAAGAAATATGGATGCGATAACTATGGCCCATGGAATGGAGAGAAAGAATGTGTATAGTGCTTTATCATTACATGAAGACACATCTGCAATTGCACATGCACGTGGAAGTACAGTTTTGCATCCTACAGTTCACCTCAAAAAGGTTAAATCTACAGGCCAGAAAGCAGAACGAGTGAAATGGACTGGTGGTATGATAAGCCTAGGCAAGTTGGCAAAAACGCTGGACAGGGCATCGAGGGACTGCATTCGAGAAGGGAAAAGAAACAATTTCCCTGTGTTCGCCGCAGTCGCAGATCCTGAAGAACGGAGTGGGAAGCCAATCGTCCATGGCCAAGAACTTTCTTGGGAAGCTGTAGATGATGAAGCTGGATGCCTCGAGGATGAGGACGACTTAGCTTATGAGGTAGAACCTGGAGTTGATGATTGTGATGATGGAGAAACGATATCAACAGATAAATATGGAACACTATCCTTCCGGTCTTTTGAGACACTCACGCTCAATGGAGGAAGAAGCACTTTATCAACAAAATCTCGTCTTTCAAGATTCAAGGGGGACGCGTTTGGAGTGTCTTCTGATGTTCGCATATACAATCAACCTGAATGCGGATGTTCTACAGTTTTGAAAGCTGGCAGTACAGAAACTCTTAAAGTCTTAAAATCTCAGCAGGACTTTGCAACAGGAGTGGTTAGATTTATTTCTTATCAGTCATGCCCGATGAAGTACTACTGCCAGGAACATAGCCTAATCAATGGATCTCCTAATGTTTGGCTACTCGTCGAAGACAAATACATCAGATGCATTGTTCCTTGATGACATTCAAAATCGTTGTGTTGTCAATGTTTGTATTCTTGAATAGTGAAATGTTTGGTATATATTTGATATAATACATTTCTATTTTCTTTATTTAGTTATTTGTCATATGAATCTTTGACTTTAACGATCATTCCAAGCGTTATAAAGCATGAAACATGTCTCTTATTCAAGTACTAATAGTATTTGCGAATCTAAAGTCATCCTAAAGGTCAAATATGAAGACCTAAATTAATGGCATAAATTGGCATAAATGGAGAATTGGCCAAGCTAAATTTCCATTTATGCCATGAAATTTCTATGCCATTTGACGATTTTTATGCCATTTGTCTCCATTTTATGCCATTGGTACCCCCCCCCCCCCCCCCCCCCCCCATAGTACTATGCTGAACTTATTAAACTGCAGTAGAGCGGATAGTTTCTCACTCAGGCACACTTATATGACAAATATTTATTATACATTTTGATACATGCCAGCCCTTTACCAAATTGGTAGTTCAGTTACAATTTATGATAGTCAGTTTTCCACGAATAAATTCAATAAACCATTTCCAGGGAGACCAGGAAAAGGCTCTTGGGTTCGAACCTCTACCTTTGATGGACCGTGCTAAAGCAGAAACCCAAACAGCTCAAAGCCAGGTTTATTTTTCCAGTTGGCTGATTCTTTTACAAACTAGCAGTTTGGAACCACCCACAGTAAAACGAATAACTTCGGTTTTGTAATTGATCGATTTCTGTGTTTAGCAGTATTTAACCTTGATAACCTCAGGTAGATTTCATAACCTCGGTGTGTTTGCCAGCTTACAAGCTTCTCTCCGAATTAATGCCATCAACCTCACCTATGTACGAGGGGGCACTGTGAGTTATATATACTGATATTTTCCAATCATTTCTGTTGTCTAGGTTTTATTTGTTTATAGGTTTATGATTGAACTTTGAAACTTTTTGAAATATATACAAATAAATAAATACGTAGTAAATGTTTATCGTTTATTATTCGTATTATAAAAAACCAAAAAACCAAGCTCTTGCTTCCAAATAACGACCATATTTACTGTAGGAGTAACCTTAAAAAGTGGGAGACAGTGGCTAAACATGGTCCCGAAGCTGTTGAAATTCCAACAAATAATGTGGAGAATCAGGAGGTTACCAAGCCGGCCGCTAAACTCAGACGGACCAAAACTAACGGCAACAAAAAGGGGAAGAATGTTGGCAAGGATAGATTTCCTACCCACAAGGTAAAGCGCTGAAGGAATACCAATAACATTGATTATAAGTAGAGTATTCTCCTCTTCCCACCCCCCCCCCCCCCCCCCCCCCCAACATGAACAGGTCAGTCTGGCAGCTGACCTGTTGTCACTTTGTAATTGGGGCCCTGGCTTCAACCTCACCGGAGAAGACATCGTCATCTAAAGTAGTCATAGAAACTTGGAAATATGAACCCCCCTTCTTCCCACCCACAGTATGTTTCAACTGGAAACACTCATTATAGACTTCTTCATATCTATTGTGAAAAGCTTCAAATTTTGTATTTGTCCCGTCAACGTTGTGTAAAAAATTCCAATCAATAGACGCTATTTTCTCCTCAAAACGAGCGATTTTCTCTTCATTTATTACTCGGTTTGATGATTCACAAGTTTCATTTTTCAATTTATTTCCTATTCTATTAGTGTCGAGAAGTATGCCGGTAAATGTGGCAAGGTGATCAGATAGCGATTCAGTTATAATGCCTGACTTTGTTATAGCATGGCATTGGTTTACGAAAATGTGATCAATAAGTGTAGCACTGTGACAAGTAATACGAGTTGGTCGTGATATCGTTGGTGCGAATCCATACTCTGCAAAAATATCAACATATTTAGTAGTATGGTCATTTACGCCATATTCTAATAGATTAATATTGGTATCACCTAGAAATAATACGTTTTTGTTGCTATGTCGCGCCAAATCTTTTAGGGTGTTTTCCAATTTTTCTAAGTAACTGGGGACATTACCACTGGGAGACCGATACATATTGCATAGTATGATGTTTTTGTGGCCATTTTGAGCTATCTCTATTAACTGAAATTCGCCAACGTTTGGATCATCTCTATAAGATAATTCAGATCGTGCAGTGACATCAGATAATTCACAGAGATTCTTGTTTACATAGGTTACTAGACCACCGCCCTTGCCAGAGTCCCTTGCGGGAGCCTGAATAAAGGGGGGATGAAAGCCTTCTAACTCTAATTCTTTTCCTTGAAAAGCCATACTTACAACCGTGCAGTTTGTTTCGTTGAAACACAGAACATCAAATTTTAGGTGCTGTTCAATTTCATCACGTATATTAGAGATTGCTTTGCTCAAAGATCGAATATTAAGAGATTGTACTTTAAATTCATAAGGCCTACTCGTGTTGATTTGCCGTGGTTCGTAGTATTTACAGCTATTTAGTACATCTGAGCAGTTGTCCCATGGATTAAAGTTTAAGTCATTGTTTTCTTCAAAAGTATTACCTATATAATTAGAGTCATGGTTTCTATGGTATGGGTTAAATTTTGCGCTATTCTCGTAATTACCGTGTACGGTGTATAATTGTCTAGGTGATACCTCGAAACCAGGAAACAATTCACGTGTGCAGCTTTTGCATCCTAACTCGCCCGCTGAGCATTTATTGTGCGAATAAGCGTCGCATATCCAGCAAACCGCCATTTTTGATTTGTTTCCCAGCTTTTTACAAGTTTTGCAGCTCACCCTGGCAAAACTTACTTTAGATTTAGCTTTTGTTTCTGTACTACAGGGTATGTAAGTGTTACACGAATTTTCATTAGTTAGAGTGGTAATATCAGTATTAGTAAACGGAAATATGTCAGTAGTACATGCCAAACAATACCAGTTTATGAGACTATTGTCTAATTTCATTCGATTTACGTCATTTGGTTCAAGATTAGCACATTTCCGATGAAAAATACCGTTACAAAGGCTGCATTTTAGCGGATCTTTACGTTCTAAACATTTTTTAGAACATAATCTACATCTACAAGACTCTTTGCACATCTTTAATTTGCAAAGTATAACTATAGATTACTGGTTATATGATATACGATAGATTACTGATTATCAATATAAAATTAAAATTAAAGATCTAAAGAGATTTATACAGGAACTGTGGGTCAAGAAAACGGGTTAAGTTTTATGTTTGAATCCTAGTTCCAAAATCAGTAAAAATCTGTAAAGGTTAAATAATTGATTAAATAGTTAAAATATTTAAATATAAATACACTGAATTTACTCCAGTAATTCTACGCTTGTGTTGTGTTGAAATTAGTTCGGTCCGGATTTATGTTGTTGTTATCTGCAATTTTGCTTATAACCGGTTCAGATAAGATAAGAAAGAGTAAAAAACCGTTTAAAATTTACTGTGATGCATTTACCATAGTCTATAAGCCATCGCAATAAAAAATAATTTATGATTAGAAAAGAAAAAAGAAGATAAGGAACTTGCTGTTCTTTGAAAAAATTTGAACTTAGGTACTTTCTGTGAACGTTACTATACGTTTAGCTTTGAAAAATTAAATTTGTTCAAAATTGTGTTGTAAACGATTATGTATTCGCGACGAAAAATTTGATTTAAGAATTTCTACTGCATTGGCAAAAGAGATCGGAACTCATCCCTTAAAGGCCACACCTCTTCGATTACTGTCGGTCTTCGCCTGGCCAGTTCAATGATGCACTCCAGGAGACGCGAAACGATCCCTTTCTTGGCTGCTAAGGTTAGATGAATACCGTTCCCATTTGGATCTAGTATAGTGCACCTTTTCCTCATCAGCTCAAAGCATATTTGATGCGAGTCAAACATCAATAGATTTTCAACCTTCGTGGTTAAAATAAATAAAGACTCGTTAAACCTACGAATTTCTGGATTTAGCCAGTGATAAGTGGTTAGTGTTATGGAGTTAAAGATGAATGTGGTGTTTGGGTATCTCTCACAATAAGTACGCAGATCATTCGCCACGACATCAAACAACGAGTAAGAACGGTGATTATACCTGGACAAATCGTTGATGCCTGCCGAGATCACCACGTAACTCATGTGAGGGAATAGGTGCTCAAACTTGTGAAGATCAGTGATTTTGTACATTGTCTCCTTGGTGCATGGCAAGTGAGTAGGAAACAAGCTGACGGGTGTGGTTGAATGAATTGAATCCGTCAATAGCAGAACACGTTCCGTTGGAATCGGAGTCGGGTCTGTTTCTGGTCTACTAGATTGGCGGATTGGTGGTATATGCTGTGGTGTGGTGGGAGCTGAGAGTCTGCGAAAAGTTAGTGATAGTCTTTCGCCTTGTGCTGTGGGATCTGCTTTAATACCATGTTCCCAAAAGTCCTGGGAGGACCTTGACATGCAATAAGTCTGCCCGTGTTTGAGGTGTATGGATTGTGTCGTGAGAGGTCCTATTTTGCTGCGGAAGTCAATTGTTCGGGTAGCACCGAGACTGACTGTGATTATGTTACTGGGATTGACGATGGAAGCTTCGTTGTCACTGTGCATGGGAATTGAAGATTTACCGTTCTCATAACGAGTAAGAAGGCAAGTTATGTTGTCTGTGGTGAATGTTGGGTCTTCTGTGTGATGAGCGATTGAGTCTATGATTTCAAGGAGTGGGTGATTCGTGGGAATATCAAGTGGTTTGTGTACTGTTCTGCCATAACGATACTCTGTTCTACCAAAAAATGCTGTCTGTCGATGCCCTATCTTAGTAAAATGTACTCCGTGGCAAACTGTCTCCAGGTCTAAATGGTCAAAGTTTATATCACACGGTTCAACAGCACCTGGTATAGCTGGTAACGTCACCGTGTTGAGCTGTGCTGGTGATGGCGGTGGGGTTGATGGAGGAGTTCTTCTAGAGTTGGCGGCGCTTTCATAAGCTAACATGTCCGTGATACACTGTTTCGCTGCCGCTATCGACTCTGTTAGTTGTTCAATAATCCTCGCATGATGGCTTTCTGCTTCTTGAAGTTTCTCGGAAATGAGGGAGGTTACGGAAGTGAACTGATGCAAATTTTTAGAAATATCATCTACATTGCTAGTTAGGTGTTGCTCTAGGTGTTGCTTTAAATGTTCATAGGCATGTGCCTTTCTATCCCTAGTTAGCATCCCTACTCCTATTGTATGATCTGTAAAACCACAGATTGTTGAATGGTATTCCGATTCATGTTTAAGTTGTTCTTCTGTCAGGGTTGAGAAGAGCTCTAAACTTGTTTTAGGAGATAATAGTGCCGTCCTAAAAGTTTTATCGTACGTACCGTCTTGTTGTGGGGGTACCAGGCAGGTCTTTGAAGAGGTAGTGAGTGGGTCACTACCTGGTAGCCCCTTGTCATCTGATGAAGGATTCGTCTCGTGAGATGGGTGGGTGGTTGGCTGATCCAATAAGTTGAGCGCGGCGTCGACCATGGTAAATTTTCTTATCAGCAAACGAATTTCATGCGTAATGTAAAAGACAAATATATTATGATAATACACTAATCCTAGCTTGAGTTATAGCTCAAATTTCAACGCTAACAGTTTCACAGCTCACGAGTCACCCGAAAATTAGGTGTCACCCAATTAAATAGACGCTAAAGCCTCTAAATAATACCCAGGTCTCAATAGAGTCTATCAGTGGTAAACGTTTATCGCTAAACGGGGGGTTTGAAAACCGGTACACGGCCAGACACACCAGGCTGGACTCCCGGAGCAAGAAGATTGCCGGTACAGACACCTGGATCAACCCCAAGAAGACAGGCGACAGCTGGCTGAGCTACAAGAAACAACAGATAACTGGACCTATGAGGAAGTATCTGGAACCTGGGGTGGCTTACAAGGAGGCCGGGGCCAAGAAATCCTTTCGTAAACTTAGACCTGCAGTAAGATTTTACTGCGAAATTGTGTTAACTATGCAATTGTCTTCAGATAAAAATGCGACTCCGAGATTTTTCTTGTGAAGGTTACCAGCAGATATTTTTATAAAGCCCGATATCACATTACCTTAAAAATCTCACTGCACCCAAAACGTTTTTTATCCTATTCTAACAATCTAACAGTATCTCACCCAGGGCGCCCAAAACGTTCAGACAAACAGAGCTGCTCTTGCATCTAAACCGATCGTCAGAGGAGACAACAACAACAACAACAAGATATCATCCTCTGGAGCTGTCAGCAAATACAGTGGAATGTACTCTAAATATAGACAGCGATAGTTTATTTTATTCGCATTGTTTGGCCGATTAACTCTACATTTTAGGACATAAACCAACTGATATAGTGTATATTTGATTAAAATAGGGTAAAATAGAGATATAATCGGTAGATTGAACCGCACAAATTGAGACAATTGTGAGGGCAATTATTGTAATTGGACAGTTTCATATTATATCGTCAACTGATTTCCACCACTAGGTTCACTTTAAGATTTGAATTAGCTACATTTTACAGGCAGATTCGTAGCTGACTAGGACTCATATTGCTTACATAACTCTTAATCTTGCTTTGTAAGATTGGATAGTATATACTCGTAATCTCATATATATTGTATAACAACCGTTACTTGGTTGAGCCGTGAATTGCAAATTAATCGTTATTTAATGTTGTAGAAAGTCCATTAGTTGTTATTTAATGTAGATAGTTGTAGATAAGTTTATTCGTTTACCTTACATAAATTATTTTGTAATTAAGATTCATTGAATATAGATTCAAGGTAACCCAAGCTATTTGATTGTTTATAGGTTTTTGGATTACATTATTATGATTCTGTTGTCTGTCGCATTTACTTGTCCAGAACGAAAAAGTTATAACCATGATAATTTGGTTTTTTTAATCTTTTGATTAATTTTCTTTCTCCGTTCGACTAGGTGATGAGCTGTTTTTGGTAAAACTTTCATGAAATAATCATCTGGCTGACACGTCCACAATAATCTCAAATTATTTGTTATTATTACAATATAGCTGTATTGAAAGTATTAAAACGATTATGGACGTCACAGTCAGAAAATTACTTAATTAAATTTTTACCTAAAACAATTTGTCACTTACTCGTAGTCGAACAGAGAAAGAAAATCTATCTAAACAAAATTTCATACTATGCGACTAAAAAACTATCAGCTGCTCAAGTATAGTACTTTTTAATCTACTTTAGTATACTTTAACTTATATTCGTTGAAAACAGTCCTGAAATCAGAAAATACATGTTTTGTTTCCTTTTTTGTTTACAGTTTACGTTGTATGATTGTTAAAATTATTTAACATAAAAAAGAAATTAAATTAATGTTTATTTTAACAAAAATAGAACTTATAAACGATTTGTTTTCAGCGTTTAAGTTAATTTTGAGCTGACTTAGCTGCTTTATGACACTTCAAAAATATCTATTTTCTCTCATGGAAATTTTAATTGTAACCGTCAATTAGGTAGATGATAATCATAATATGTCTATGAACATCATATTTTGATGATACTGAAAGTGATACATATTGATATTTTTACTGCTAAGACTAGATGGACCCTCTTTGAAGTATTGCTAGTTTTGCAGATGTATTTTGACGGTGACCATCTCATTTTTAAAATTGACAATATGAACAATTGTACTCATTTATGTCAGATTTAAACCATATAATTATAAAACGTATGTATTTTACTAGAATTAGAGTTGTGAGTGAAAACATAGTTCAATGTTTTTGCTCTCATTTTAATAGACTGGACGGAATAACTGTGATTATTCTGTTGCCTTATAGGTTGTATATTATTTATTTAATTTCAATACGATACATTAAGTTGAACTTGAAAGTGCATATCACGTTTGTGAATTAGTTTTTGTATATGCTGATAGTGATCTAGATTAACGTTGCAAAGTTTTTAATTTATGTTTCATTTGTACAAAAACTGCAACACAACTACGCCTTTTGCTTGGTGATGGTCGAATATAATAGTTGACTAAAGTCTAAAAGTGAACCTCTGGCTCTAGCAACAAGGACAAAAGAAAATCGCGATTATTGAGGGCGAAAATCTCGAAAATTACGGCGAAAAATAATATATTTGTAGAGCTTTGACGGATGTTACTCGTCTAAATGTCTTCGGAGTATAGCGAGGCAAGTGCTACTTGTATCACGTTGCGACCCCCACGGTCGTTTCACTTTATCGTCCTGACGATACAGGGGGAGCCGCGCACTTCGTGCGCGGCGGGTCATACAACGTATGACAAAGTGCTACGAAGTAGCGCGCGCCGGGCTAGTCGGGCTAGTAGTCCTGCATTAACAATGGACAAGTAGAGCTAAGTTATAGATGTCATATATTCGTTAAACTAGCTCGTTCGCGTTAGTGATAGTCTAGTTAGATAACAGATAAGGGAGCGATAGGCAAAACAATTATAGCATATAACATAATCTCGAATATATTATTGCTATAAAACAGCATATCTTATTGAACCTCAAAATGAACGCTCGAAGGCATTTATTCAAAATCATCAAAAATCTAAATTTTTTCATATTTTTTTAAATAATTTGTAAATTAATTTTTCATAGTCATACAATGAGCAAAAAGGCAATTGTTAAGCAGTAAAAAATGTCAAAATATCAGTAGAATTAGATTGCAGTATCTATGATTATGAAAGTTGTGTAAAAACATGACAATAGATACGAAATATTATGACCAGATTTGATGATCATATCACAAGTCATTTTGTAGGTTTATACTTTATAACCTACCATGACGCGCGCCGAGTTGGACTCGTCGACGATCCTGAAACAAATATTTTACAAGTATCACCCGTTAAAGGTCATCTTCCTCAAATGCAGGTTATCGTGCATTAAATATTTCTTACCTGTTATGTAGGGGGTGCACGATAAAAATAAACTTGCTCGGATTTTAAAAATTTTTGTACCACTGTTTTTTAGAGACTGTGAGAATTTTCACAATACCAAATTTGCCATACTATACCTTTTTGGAAAGATTAGTGAGTTTCGCCTAGGTGCCATATTTGATTTTGATGCTGCGCGGCTTTTGAAGCAAAAATAGCTGTAAAAGTTGCGTCATTTGACCAAATTCGTTGATTTTTGTCGTATTTTTCGGATATATCTTCGGTTCCTTGAATGAAATCATTGATCATTCTGAAAATTGGCGACGACCTTCCAATAGTAGGTAGTGCGCCATCGACAGTGAGCCGCGCGTGCCGACTGTAGGATGGTTTTTTAGCGCTAATTTCGGCCAGTACAATTTTCTTCAAACAAAAAGATATTAAGTATCCTTCCCGACCTCTAATTGCAACAAAAATTGGTAAGCTTACTCATAGACTTACAAGGAAAGTGTCCGAAAAGTTTAAAGCATATCCAACCATCAGACATTATGTTACAGCTAAAAGCAGCGTATTTTGCCCCATTTTGATCACTATATCAACTCCGATATCCACCAAATTTTTCGGACAGTTGTAAAAGCCCTATTGGAAGGTCGTCGCCAATTTCCAAAATGATCTCATTTAAGGAACTGGAGATAAATCCGAATAATACGACAAAAATGGTCAAATTTGGACGAATTTGGTCAAATTACGCAAATTTTACAACTTCTTTTGCTCCAAAAGCCGCGCACCATCAAATATGGCACCTAGGTGAAACTCACTGATTTTTCCAAAAAGGTATAACAAATTTGGTATTGTGAAAATTATCACAGTCTCTAGAAAACAGTTGTGGGAAGTTGGTCGTTTAGCTCCGGACAGTCTATGCAACGTCTATGCAACGTCCGTGCAACAACAAAAGAACCGTCTATGCAACGTCTATGCAACGTCCCTGCACAATGAACACTCTATGCACACTCCCTGCACGGTCAGTCTATGCAACGTCTATGCAACGTCTATGCAACGTCCCTGCACAGTACCATATGAACACCGGCTACTAGCCGGCTACTAGCCGGCTAGTAGCCACTTTTGTAATAACAGCTCCTCAACTTCACATTAACAACCGGCTACTAACCGGCACTTGAAAAGTGGTCACTAGCCGGCTACTAACCGGCTACTAGCCGGCTAGTGACCACAAAGTGGCTACTAACCGGCTACTAAGCGGTCACTAGCCGGCTATTAGCCGAGCTCTAAAACAGACCTATTAGTAGCCGGTTCTAAACCGGCTACTAGCCGGCACTTGAAAAGCGGTCACTAGCCGGCTACTAACCGGCTACTAACCGGCTACTAACCACCAAGTGGCTACTAACCGGCTACTAACCGGTCACTTGCCGGCTCTAAAGCAGACCTATTAGTAGCCGGTTCTAAACCGGCTACTAGCCGGCACTTAGAAAGCGGTCACTAGCCGGCTACTAACCGGCTACTAACCGGCTAGTACCCACCAAGTGGCTACTAACCGGCTACTAACCGGCTACTAACCGGCTAGTACTAACCTGCTCTAGGCGACTCTAAATCAGACCGGCTATAATTCATTATTGCCAAATAAACAAATTATTTGAAACAAATTATTTGAAACACGTTATTTGAAAGTAAGTTCCAAAATCGATTACAACATTTTTATGAAAAATAAAAAAATACTGAAAACTGATTACATTCAATTTCTTCGTGGTGGAGGAGCAGTGTAATTGTTTTTGGGCGCTAGGACGACGCCTTGGGTACAAAGGGTCCTAAGAGTGGCAAGATTACGGTTGCAGATCTCGTTTGCGAAGGTGTAAACACTAGGAAGTCTGACGTCTCGTAGTTGCAGCAGTGCGTGTTGGACACCTGGTAGGTCAACTTTTGCTGCTTCAGCGATACATCGCTTTCTTGAGAAGTGACTCCGAGAAATGTGTATCTGCTCCAGAGCGGCAGACTTTGAGAGACCAGAGTTGACTAGTAGTTAGGGCAAGAATTGCTGTTTATGGGTCAATCTGTGAACAAATTCGTAACAAAGGTTTGTCTACAGGAATGTGTTGTCCATAGTCCCAGGAACCACAAAAAAAACCGTCCAGCTGAAACTTTTGGGCAAAAATTTTTATAGGCATTTTTCTCCAGGAACCCATACGCCCCACCCCTAATATTGGTTATTCGGCTCCCGAAGGTCTTGAGATATCCACAGGGGGTGCAAAATGACCGCAATGGCCACATTATGGCAGGCGAATGATAGTTTCAGAACGATTGGGGCTTTATTTTTTGAAATAAATGGAATTTTTCGAAATTTTTTTCGAAATTTTATTGAAATTTCGAAAAAAAATACACCAAATTATTTTTAACGCTTATTTCAAATCTTACTCGGGAAATAACTTCAATTAACAAATATCAAGGTTAACTAACAAACAACAGCAGATAAGAACAAATTGTGATGAGAGAAAACTTGACCAACCCCCAGACAGCTATTCGACGGTATATACTACTCTGGTTGAATGTCTTAAGTTATCCTACACTCTACAGAGAGCCGATGATAATCATAATCGATTTGCCATTGTGGATTAAGGCCACCCAAATAGTACTGGAAACTGGGATGCCTATTGTGGCCAGGGTTGGGGGCTTCCACACTCTCAAGAGTTTTCTTGGCTGCATAGGCTATATAATAGCAGACTCGGGTTTAGAGGAGCTCATCAAACTCGTGTATCCTGGAGACGTCACGCATATATCGGATGGAGGATCTTACTATAAAGCGTCGAGAGCCCACTTTCTGATCGACGCCGCTCTTTGTTGTTTCATTATAGAGGAAGAAGTTTGCGACGATGAACTAGTAGACTTGGAAGGTTACATCAACAAATGTGTGAACGAAAATCTAGGTGTTAACTTTAAGACTAAATCTATTCAGGATCTATCAGAGAAAATAACTCTGCTTCTAAAGAACCTGTTTTCCAACAGTAGAACAGCAGCTCTATGGGTTACTTACCACAACATGATAACACTAGTAAAGGATTTCATAAGAGCAGAGAGGTTGCACGACTACAATATGCATTTATCAGCAGTAGCTTTGATGCTGCCCTACTTCGCAGCAGCTGGGAGGGGACAGTATGCAAAAGCTTTAAGACTGTATTTGGAGCAGGATGCTATTTTTGAAGTCAAGTATGGGGCGCTTTTAAAGACCTTTAAAGTAACTGGGCTTCACACGGTTTGTTACAACGACCACGAGTGGGCCGGGGTGTGGACTGACCTCTCCATAGAGCAGAGTCTTATGAGGGCAGCTAAATCTAGTGGTGGATTAACAAGTGGAAGGATGCGTAATCGTGAGTCCGCTCACAAGTTATGGGTGGCCACCCTGAATCAGATGGCTTTAATAAATCAGTCTTTTAGAGATTCATTAGCTAATTCATCGAAGCAAGGAGTACCAACTAAAGCTGCCATCCACTCAGATCTTACCAAGTCATCAATCAAGAAAAACTGTGATGTATTTGGAAAATGATTAACTTGGTTTAAAGTTACTGTCGACTTTACAGAATCCGAAGATAAGACTAAGTTAATATCTTTTTCGACTGGTCTTATATCACAGTCTGGGAACGATGAGGTGAATCCCGAGGAATGTTTGGCCGTTGGGGCTGTCCTTCAACGTGAGCTAGATGGGTTGACATTCATCGATAAGATAAGTATCAAAGGTAAAGCAAAGAACTTGACACAACTAAGAAAGCAGGTTAAAGTGAATAATAAAAGCGTTGCAGTCGATCCGTTGAAGTGTTTTAACCGTCTAGTCTTGGTTGCTGATAGAGAGACTTCAATAGAGGAATGCCTAACATACGAGTTAACTGTGGTGCCGATGAGCTTATTTGATCAATATCAGATGATGAGGAAATCTAATAAGGCTGCTCTTGGTAGCTACCTCAAAAACATAAACCAATCTATACTTAAATCTTGCAGCTTCACGATCCCACTAATCATTGATGGAGGTTGGCTAATTCACCAACTAAGCTCATTTAAAGGGTGTGACAATTATGGTGAGGTAGCAATGGAGTACTTGAAGCTTATCCCTAAAAATCGGGAAGTTACTGTGATTTTTGATGGATATGAGCCTTCTACTAAAGATCACGAGCACAAGAGGAGAGTAAAAGCGTTCTGTGCTAATATTGCTGTAAAGAAATCCACCTTTTGTACTGTCACCAAAACAACATTTCTGAGCAACAACAATAACAAAAAAGAACTGATCGACCTTATCTCAAGCATTTTTACTGTAAATGGTATTGAAGTGATCAGAGCTTGTAACGATGCTGATACTTTAATTACAAAGAAAACATTGGAAATGTCATTCCTTGGCGATGTTGAATTGAAGGCAGAGGATACCGATATAGTTTGTCTATTAGTACATCATTTCAACAGTGACCATCACAATGATATTTATCTAACAACGAAGAAGGGTGCATATTCAATCAAAGAAATATCAAGTCATCTAGATCATAAAGAAAAGGAGATATTTCTTCTAATTCATAGTATTTCAGGTTGTGATAGCGTCAGTGGACTGTTTGGTTTTAGCAAGGTTAAAGTGCTAAAGAAAGCTCTCACCTTTGATGAGCAAGGTCAGTTGGCAACATTACTTTCGGTGAGAGAATCAAAAGAAAAGATTATTGAGGCAGGCCTCTGTTTCTTGCAGTACATTTATGGTGACAAGACAAAGACTCTTTCTGCTTTGAGATTCCTAGCATACAATAGGATGGTAGCGAAAAAGAGTCTCAATCCGAATAGGCTACCTCCAACAATAGCTTCAGCAACGGAGCACATCCTTAGAGCTTACTTACAGTACCATAACTGGGTCATGCTTAACGCTGACAGTCTGAATCCCCTTGACTACGGCTGGAAATTGGCTCCTGGTGGCACTTACGAACCAGTTGCAACAAAAGCTATAATTGCTCCAGAGTCTATTTTGAACCTTTAAATATGTTGTAACTGTTCTGTCGATGAGCAACAGGCCTGTTTGACTTTCAGATGTTCCTGTGGGAAATATGGCTTCAATTGTTTGCCAGCTTGTGGACGATGCCATGGTTTGAACTGCACAAACATTAGACATTATGAACCTGAAGAACAAGCGAATTTTGATTAATATTAACTGTGTATTAATAATTGTCATGGTATTTACTGAGAATACACATTTTAGATTAACTGTATTTGTTATTTGTAGATGAGTTTTGAAATAGATTTGAAATAAGCGTTAAAAATAATTTGGTGTATTTTTTTTCGAAATTTCAATAAAATTTCGAAAAATTTCGAAAAATTCCATCTATTTCGAAAAATAAAGCCCCAATTGTTCTATTCTGAAACTATCATACGCCTGCCATAATGTGGCCATTGCGGTCATTTTGCACCCCCTATGGAGATCTCAAGACCTTCGGGAGCCGAATAACCAATATTAGGGGTGGGGCGTATGGGTTCCTGGAGAAAAATTACTATAAAAATGTTTGCCCAAAAGTTTCAGCTGGAAGGTTTTTTTTGTGGTTCCTGGGACTATGGACAACACATTCCTGTAGACAAACCTTTGTTACGAATTTGTTCACAGAAAAATCAACTCTTGCCCTAACTATAGCTGCACAACGGCGTCGTATTCCGCTATAACCCCGTCTAAAGAAAATATCCGCCTCGTTCTGCGACCAGTAGGCAGAGCAGCAGCATTGGGAGCAGGTTGCTGATCAGTAGCAGGTTGGTGTCCAGGAGCAGCTTGCTGAGCAGGAGGTTGAGGAGAATTGGGAGCAGGTTGTTGATCAGTAACAGGTTGCTGTGCAGGAGCAGGTTGAGGAGCTGGAGGTTGAGGAGCTGGAGGTTGAGGAGCTGGAGGTTGAGGAGCTGGAGGTTGAGGAGCTGGAGGTTGAGGAGCTGGAGGTTGAGGAGCTGGAGGTTGAGTAGCCGGCTAGTGACCGCTTTCTAAGTGCCGGCTAGTAGCCGGTTTGGAACCGGCTACTAGTAGGTCTGCTTTAGAGCTCGGCTAATAGCCGGCTAGTGACCGCTTAGTAGCCGGTTAGTAGCCACTTTGTGGTCACTAGCCGGCTAGTAGCCGGTTAGTAGCCGGCTAGTGACCACTTTTCAAGTGCCGGTTAGTAGCCGGTTGGTAATGTGAAGTTGAGGAGCTGTTATTACAAAAGTGGCTACTAGCCGGCTAGTAGCCGGTGTTCATATGGTACTGTGCAGGGACGTTGCATAGACGTTGCATAGACGCTTCTTTTGTTGTTGCATAGACGTTGCATAGACTGTCCGGAGCTAAACGACCAAGTTGCCACAGTGGTACAAAAATTTTTAAAATCCGAGCAAGTTTATTTTTATCGTGCACCCCCTACCAATAGGGCTTTCACAACTGTCCGAAAAATTTGGTGGATATCGGAGTTGATATAGTGATCAAAATGGGGCAAAATACGCTGCTTTTAGCTGTTACATAATGTCTGATGGTTGGATATGCTTTAAATTTTTCGGACACTTTCCTTGTAAGTCTATAAGTAAGCTTACAAATTTTTGTTGCAATCGGAGGTCGGGAAGGATACTCAATATCTATTTAATTGAAGAAAATTGTGCTGGCCGAAATTAGCGCTAAAAAACCATCCTACAGTCGGCACGCGCGGCTCACTGTCGATGGTGCACTACCTATTACATGGGGTGAGTGGGGACCTCAGGCTATCATGTTCATAAACATAGAGATTAGGCGGAATGACATGCTGAGCGGCGAGCGCGGCCTAGTAAAATATTCCATGCTTTAAGCATCATATCTATCAGTATTGATGAGGACCCGGTAATAACCGTTGGATTACAATTAGCAGAAATTATTTGTTGAACTAGAGTACGCTACCTGTTATACTCTAGTAGTAGTATAGTTGAAGTTCGACATTGATACATGTTACGTATGTGGCATGCAACGTATGTCAAGTTCGACACGTATTGACGGATGTTACTCGTCTAAATTTCTTCGAAGTAGCGCGCGCCGCTTTCTTCTACTTGCCGCTTTCTTCTACTTGCCGCTTTCTTCTACTTGCCGCTTTCTTCTACTTGCCGTCAGGCACTGGCCCGACGGCAAGTGCTACGAAGTTCAAGTAGCGCGCGCCGGGCCAGACGGGAGCAGGACTATTGAGCGGTGGACTGTTGAGCGTAGGACTGTAGGTCGGTAAAGGTCGGAAGTAGGACTGTAGAGCGGTGTCAAATCGCCAGGGTAGGACTCTAGAGCGGCCGCCCTTATAGATCTCACAACATGAGGACTTTAGAGCGGTACGATCCTAAAATGAGGACTGTAGAGCGGTGGACTGTTGAGCGGTTAACTGTAGGCCGGTGAAGGTCGGAAGTAGGACTGTAGAGCGGCCCTCCCGTATACTCTTATAGATGCCATAACATGAGGACTCTAGAGCGGTACCCTCCTATAACATGAGGACTCTATAGCGGTTGAAAATTTGAAGATTAAACACTCAACGAAGCTAAGTTATACATTGAAACTCGTGATTGATTATGGTCATGACATTCTAGGATGATAACTCTATTAAAGAGTCATGGAGTTAATGAACATTTTCATTATAAATAGTCCTCATGTTATGGGATCTATAAGGGAGGGCCGCTCTACAGTCCTACTTCCGACCTTCACCGGCCTACAGTCAACCGCTCAACAGTCCACCGCTCTACAGTCCTCATTTTAGGATCGTACCGCTCTAAAGTCCTCATGTTGTGAGATCTATAAGGGCGGCCGCTCTAGAGTCCTACCCTGGCGATTTGACACCGCTCTACAGTCCTACTTCCGACCTTCACCGACCTACAGTCCTACGCTCAACAGTCCTCCGCTCAATAGTCCTACAGCCGGGCCAGACCATTAACAATGGTCAAGACACGTACCGAAGTTCGATAGGGATGATATCTGCAGGCGGACTTAAATTTTCGAACTATAGTGCGTGTCGAACTAGAGTACGTAAATCCATATATGCTCTACTGAAATTTTGGTTTGCTTCTAAATTAATCGCCGCGCCGAAAAATGTAGTCTCAATAAATTTGGTTTACAAAAATTTTAGTCAACATTTTGACTAAATTTATGATAGACAAATTATTTGTTGTTTTTAAGGTATATATGAATTTAATGCCAACTTGAATGAGTATAAAGTGGCATATTCAGTCAGTGATCGACAGATATGCTTATCTTAACACAAGGAAATGTTTTCAAAGGTAAAATTTCGAAATCGTTGAAATTACCTCCTTATTAATGAAGTTATCACTTTATATTTCGACTTAGTAAAGTACCTTGACATAAATTATCAAAAAGAGATGATATTTGACCAAAACCCATAATTGGGTAGAGTGGACTGCTGCCAGTGTCTCTCTTTCCGGCTCCCAAACAAAAGGAAATGATATTAATTTGAATGACTGTCTGCAAATGCAAAATGATACCGAGAATGAAATCGGTCGCTCGCTTTTCCCATTCATTTACAATTGTGATAAATTAAGAAGAACTGTTCGAAGGCAGCTGTACTCGGTAATAAAGATTCAATAAACATCAGCTAATTTGACACTAACTATACCGCCCTTATCCCGAAATACTAGGTATCGACCTGATATAAAAGCAACCCAAAGAGATTTGTACAGCATGTGATTGATGTAATTAATCGAAACTTATTACAATTCGTAAGCCGTGAATGAATATGGAATAGGAAAAGCGGTCCAGTCTACTCTACCCAATTATGAGTTTTGGTAAAATGTACGTATAACTAACATTTTAACTTATATAAGCTATTATAATTTATATCCAGGTAGATGCGATTCGATAAAACGGAGTACGACGGAGACTAATTGAAGTCGTCTATTCTCGATCAGCTTACCTTAAGGAATCTCTAATACAAAGCCGAACCGCATGGAGAACGGCACATTGTCTTTATGCTTAGCTTGTACTAGTGAATAGGCACTAGCTACCTTAGGGCCAATAAATTTGGTTCACAATAAATTAGGTTACCATAATTTAAGTCACAAATTTCGCAAATTTTTAGTCTACAACAGTTTTAGTCACATTTTTCGACTTTTCGAGATCATTTTCCATTCCATTTACCTTCAGAACGACAAATTTAGTATACCTTACTCGGGATTATTACGACGGGTTTATTAACGACCGGTTAAAATATGGTTCGGGAAAAATATGGCGAAATTGCTCAAAACCCACCACATTTTCCCGGTCGCCATTTTACCGGTGTCCAACCTTTCAATTTTAGATTCAAAAATTTTGTCTCAGATGTAAATTTCCTTATTAGAGATAAGCAAGTTTAGAAATTTTCGCATTGCTAACACTTGTGAAACAAGTCGAATTATCAATAATTGTTGAAAGTAGACAGAAATAATGACTCGTGGTTAATCAAACTAGATGGAAAATAATTTTCTTCGAAAGAATGCATCGTTCACATTGTTTAGAATTATGAATAAATGACTGATGAAACTGATTCATGTTATTGACAGTTTTAATTAATTCAAGTTTTAATTTAACTGTTACTTTTACTTTGAGTCCTATTTCATTATGTAGAGATAGTCAATACCTAAAAAATTAAAAATTGGCCTATTTAAATCAACTTTGACAATAAGGATATATGACAAGAATTGGGCAAAAAGGTGAATTTTTTGCAATTTTAGCCAAATGAAGTCGAAAAACCTACAACAAGTGTCCCAATAGTCTTCTTTAGTGAATATAAGACAACGATTAAAATATGAGCACCCATACCCCTTGGGAAACCTAAAAGCTGAGTCGGCGGGTTTATTAACGACCGGTGAAAATGTGGTTCGGGAAAAATATGGCGAAATTACCCTAAACCCGCCACTTTATCCCGGTCATAATAATCCCGAGTAAGGTACCCCGTCTGAGCATTACAGATTAAGCTGCAATGCATTAATCAAGAATTTCAATAACATCAGATCCAGAGTTTGTGACTCTGTATCACTAAGTTCTTCAGTACACTGTTCAGTTTCTTTTTCACCCTTTTTCGACTTTACCATTTTTACCATCGATATGATCCTTCAGCCGTTTCAACAGAGCATGCATTGGGATGGATCGATTAAAAATGTAATGACAATGTCCAAGAGGAGCTCTAACCCTTTAAATCAAAATGCAATAGGAATTTGGTATGGTTTTGTGCAGTAGGAACGGTGATGTCATATATTAATTATAAACAATGTTAGCTTAATAATATTCATGTCATATTTGCTCTACTGAAATTTTGGTCTCCTTTGAAATTAGTCGCCGAAAAATTTAGTCTCATGAAATTTGGTTTACAAAAATGTTAGTTAAAAGTTCGACTAAATTTATGGTAGACTAAATTTGTCGTTCTTAAGGTATTGTATAAGTTGCTGGGGTGGAATCCCAAAACACAGGCTAAATAAAATTTGTGTAATTGTAATAAGTTTCGATTAATTACATCAATCACATACTGTAAAATATTGTTTTGTCCCTCAGTCCATTACAAATCTTTTCAAGTTCTGCCCTAAAATGAAAAACTTCGTCTGATCCCATATTAACCCGATTAAGTAATCGATATTATAATTGCATTTTGTTGTCCCGCACCCAAGTTTGTGTTTGTATTTGTGTATCCTATTCCTAATTAAAACTCGAGTGGCTGCAGTCCTTATCCTGCCCGACACCACCAATGTCCAATACGCGTATCGATTACTGCGTGCAAATTATTTAAGCTCACCTACAAAACAATTCTTGACAATAATTTTCTTTCGTATGTAAATACTTGACACCAATCTTGTTTTGTGTTTTTTCTTCCTTCGAATTGTTCAAATATCGTTTACTATTTTTTGCGAAGGTCGCTATACTTTGTTCTGACACTTCCTCTTTAATTTCAAGTAAGCGATTAAGGAAATTAATTAGCTTGATTGATTGTATCGCTGACATTTGACAAGTACCAAAACTTGGTGCAACTTTCAAGTCTACTTGTAAAATTTGATTTCCTTTTCCGTAACCTTTACCTTAAGGCTTAAGCCCCATTGTATCAGATTGGGGTTCTCGTTTCCATGGGACTCTCTGATCAACTGATTGATATCTCATGCCCTCTATGAGAGCAACTGCTAGCAGTGCTCCCCATCGGGGCATGTGATATCAATTCTGCTTTTCTGCCAAATTTGGCTCGAAAGTGTGATAATCTCATTTTCAGATATAGGGGTTAATGTCGGGTTTGTGGCAGATGGACTTGACGGAGGTACTCAAACCAGAACTAGAAACTCAAACCTGGATTAGAAACTCAAACCAGAACTAGAAACAATTAGTACAATTACAATTATGTGGTATATGAACATTAAGTATAGCGACAATAATGAAGATATTATAAATACCTATTTTCGGTCACTATCTTCTGGAAACTTTTGTTGGTAACGATAAACTTTAAAGAAACAGGCAGTACTTACTACTTATGTTTGATTTCATTTGTGTGGCATATGAACTAGTTGTTAAAAATTATGAAGATATAATTATCATTCATTTCATTCATATTTTCAACAAAAAAGTGTTTATTTTATTGCTGATTAACAACTATAACTATGAGCACATAAGAAGCGACAATTCTGTCTTTTCCAACCACAGTAAACTCATTAATTGGTCATTCAATGAAAATGCAGTCAAAACAGTGAAATTTGGGTCGGTGAAAAGCTAAAATCTATAAGTAAAAATGTCCTACCGGTAGGATATTTTCAAAATTGTCATTTTATCTCAGTTTTCTCCGGATATTCAGCTTCCAGTGCCCCGATGGTGACTTGTGTCACTCAAACTGACCTCACTGATTGGTCACTGGTCAAAAATTCAGTCAAAACTGTGAAATGTCGTTCAAGGAAACGGTCATTCAAAAATCCTCAAAAATTGTTCCTTCTATTTATATTCTGATGATTATCCGAAAAGATTATTCTTGCCTTGTTCTCTGTCCAAAAATGTATGTCCCTGTTTATGATTGAAAATCGATGAATTTGTGATACTCGGTGCTCGCTTTCAGATTCATGATATCGATGGTTGGGAGACCAGATATGAAAAGTTCAAGCTCGTTGTCGCCGAGTGTCGAAATGAGATATTTGGGGGTTATCGTAGAAACCGTCAAAGATAACCTTATACTACCGGTCATCTTCATTTGGGAATTGAGTTTCACAATATACAATATACTCCTTCTTGTTGGAGTTCGTGTGACGGCAATGTTAGGTTTTAACTCCCTGCCATCGTTAGATTTTAACTCCCTGTTAGGTTTTAACTCCCTGTTATGTTTTTATCTACACTTTCTTGCCGGGTCCCGGCAGAAAAGGTTTTGGTGTATGTCCCCTTAACTTACTGTTAGGTTTTAACTTACTGTTAGGTTTTAACTTACTGTTAGGTTTTAACTTACTGTTAGGTTTTAACTTACTGTATGGGTCGGATGTCGGATGAATATCTCTACACTCGACTATCACGTGACTCGTTAATTACTTAAACACGTTCTCTAGATAGCTCTGAGGGACTGACCTCAAATCTAACCCTAACCCATTACCCAATCCGAACTGAAGCATATGCTAGAACCCTAACCCTACCAAGAAATTAGACCAAATTCCTTACATGGTCATGTCAAGTGATCGAAACAGTTTTTCACCAAGGGAGCATTTAACCCTATGTCATTTATGATTTAAAATCAGCGTTCAAAAATACATCGATTCAAGGTTGGTTTCAACTGCTCAACTGGTGGGAGCCCTTTTAGTTTTAGAAAAATCTAGAAGTGATTTAGCACGCTCGTGTTTGAGTTAGATTAGGGAGGTTAGATTTTAACTCTCTGTACAGGTTTTAACTGATCCTTGTGCAGGTTTTAACTCCATGTTTTATTTTGTAACCAAATTGCTGTTGAAGTTCTACTGCCTTTTGACGGCTGTAAGACGTGCCCCTAAATGTTATCTGACGACGTCCTGTTCAATAATGAGCAGATATGCGGTATTAAGTATTGGTAAAATTCCAATTCTTATGAGGGAGCTTTAGATTAAGAGTATAAGTATATACATTTTTTTCTGTAAACTTAACGACTGCAGGCATTAATATTGAAACTACAAATATTGAAGTAACGTTTTGTTTAACAGTTAAGAGTAATTACGATTAAATAAACTTTTTTATTTGCCACTGTTTACCAACTTTTTTTGTTTGTCAAATATCTTTAGTTGAGATTTGTGAACATCGTAGAAGGCTGCAGAGTGTATATTTATCAAGGGTGTTTATCTTTTCGATGATAAAAGCTTTAGTTTCTAAAATTTTCACGTCAGGGGTAACTTGTGATAGAATTATCATGACAAAGATTGGGTTCATAGGAGCGGGAAAGATTGCCCATGCGTTAATGAAAGGACTTCTTTCTTCAGGTAAAAACCTAATGATTACATTGGTTATTTTAATAAAACTTTTACTATCCGAATATCATATTCAGCGCTAAAAAACTAGAATTGGGAGATTGAAATCAAAACTTTTAACTTTTTCAGGTGCAGTTACTCCATCTCGTATCTATGCAAGTTCAAATACTGAAGAATCCCTTCAAAAAGTTAAGGTTAATTTTCAAAACAGTCTATTACCTTTAAAAATCCTCGAATTATTTTCCTGTACACATTTACATTTATATAATTTATAGGAACCAACCAGATTTTGATCAAATTGCAAATTATTGTTTCTATAATGAGTTAGTCATGACAATTAATATCATTGTTTCAGATACTTGGTGTGAACACGTGTCTGGATAACTTGTGGACTGTGAAAAACAGCAACATAACCATACTGGCTGTCAAGCCTCTTGTTTTCCCCAAAGTACTTCACGAGATAGCCCCCGCTATCGGGCCCGATAATGTGATCGTTTCTCTAGCAGCAGGTGTCACCATTGACTCTATACAACAGGTAAGCAGGTAAAGAGACTACCTTATCGGACCTTATTTGAACGGACATTAATTGAACGCTGGAGGTCCTAGCGTCCATCTTTATGTCCGTTCAAATAAAGTCCATCGGTTTAAGGTCCGTCCAAGTTAAAGTCCGTTGAGATTTTTTCCAAAATTATTCCACTAGCTGCGAACTCTTGACAACTAATTTCTGAATTTCAGTCAATTGTAATTTCTATCATCGGAGTCGGACTAAAATATATCATTGGTGATTGGATCAATGATGAATGAAAAGCGAGTTAGTATAAAATTTAAATATTCTAAGCATCACATTCTTGATTTTCGGCTTCCTCGTTCACTTCTTCGTTGATTGACGATGTCAACCCTTCCAGATCGTTGCTCTGCGAATTAACAGAGCAACGATCTAGTCACAAGTCAGAATGATAGTTTGCACGGCGCGTCGAAGCGGGCCAGCGGCGAAGTCCTCCAACTTCTTCGGAGTTACTATTACCTCCACATCTTGTAAAAGTTTACACTGAAATGCAGGACTGAGGTGGTCAAATAAAAAATTGTTTTCAAAAAGCGGGTATTACTGATTAGACGATTACTAATTAGATGCTTTAAGCATGGAATATTGAATGCACGATAATCCATTTGACGAAGATGACCTGTGATATGCTCACCAAATCTGGTCATATTTCGTATCTGTTGTTTTTACACAACTTTCATAATCATAGACACTGATCTACAGATATTTTGAAATTTTAACTGCTTAATGATTGCTTTTCTTGCATATTGTATTTTTTTTAATATGAAAAAATTTTAGTTTTTGATGGTTTTGAATGCGTTCGAGCGTTCAATGTTCATTTTAATGTCCGTTCATAATTATTTCCGTTCATTTAATGTCCGGTCAAATAAGGTCCGATAATGTAAATCGTATCGTGTTGATATCAACAATGATATCAACATGATAATTGATTTAATGAAAATACTTGGTATTATATCAACGAATTCGAGTTACACACAGTAACAAATAATCTTCCGAATAACGTTGCTTCCTCCTATAACAGATATAGCATAAAATCACATACACAATACACATGAAATGAAATGAAATGAAATGAAATGAAATGAAATGAGGTATTTATATCCCGCTCATATGATTAACCAACAACACAAGGAAGGTGGTTAACCATGTCAGAGCGGCTGACTGTGAGTGATGTGAGCAAATGCGTAAAAAGTGAACTAAAGTATAACTCGTCATAAGGTAAAGACAAAATTAAAACATCTTTTATTGTAAACCACACTAAACTAAATAGAAGCAGAAACCATACAATACATGTAGGTAAAATAAAGGTACAGTGACATAATCAATCAAGAAAGAGACATCAAGACATAAAATGGAGTGCGGTAAAAAATAAAAGCCAACGTGTCTTGCAAAGTGAAGACAATGGAAAGAAAAAACATCAGAACTGATTATATAAATGATTCTTTAACATTCGCTTGAAACAGTTGGTATCAGTAATACTTCTCAACATCAGCGGAAGAGAGTTCCATGCAACCGGTGCATGGCTTGAAAAACGTCTGTCATCAACTTTGGATCTTTTATTCTTTGGTATCTTGAGCATGAGATGGTCATCCGGTCTTTTCGACCTGGTCATGGTGTTTGAAAGCTCTATATCCACTACATCCACATCCAGTAGTGCTTTGAGGTAATCAGGTGCAGTACCGTGAACTGATTTGTGGGTTAAAAGACAAACTTTGAAGAAGATTCGTTGGTCTATAGGGAGTATGTGGGCCTTCTTATAGAAGGGAACCAAGTCCGTGGTCCTCTCTTCTATGTTGTAGATGAAACGAACTGCCCCATTAAGGGTTGATCTAAGTTTGTTCAATCTGGTCTTGGGTAGATTCATGTAAAGAGAATTACAGTAGTCTAATTTAGATATGACCAGTTGTTTCACCAGCATCAATTTAATGCCTTCATCCAGGTAACGACCAATGGTTCTTAGGTTCATCATTGTCCAGCTGCATTTCCTTTTGACATTATTGATCTGTCTTTCCATATTTAGAGTTTCGTCAAATTTGACACCCAGACTCTTCCAGCTGTCTCCTTTACACTCCGTAGGCAGAATTTCAGTGCTTCCAAATTGCAGTCTGACACTGAGTTCACACTTTTTTAGAACATGGCTCTTTCCTAACACCAGTAGTTCTGTCTTTGTTTCGTTCAGTTTCATGTAGTTGTTCACCATCCATGCTTTTATCTCTGCAAGACATTTGTTTGTTCTGTCTTGGACATCAATGAACTGTACCACACGGTTTGGTTTAAATGAGATGTACAGTTGAGAATCATCTGCATAGAGCTGTATATCAAGACCATATTTGGCCGCAATTTTCTGGAGAGCTTTGATATAAAGGATGAAAAGAATAGGCCCCAAGAGTGATCCCTGGGGAACTCCAAACAGAAGCTCCAAGAAAGTTGAAAGAGTATCATCAATCTTAACACAGAAGTGTCTTTTCTCAAGGTAGGACTTTATCCATTGCAGTGCACTTCCAGTAATTCCATAGTCCTTCATAAGCTTTTCCAACAAGACTGTGTGGTCAATGGTATCAAATGCTGCACTTAAGTCGAGAAGTACAACTATAACAACATTCCCAGCTTCAATTTCTTTGTTTAGATCATCACACATTCTAACAAGTAATGTTTCACAGCTATGATTAGGGCGATATCCAGATTGGACTTCTGAGTAAAGGCTATGGTTAGTTAGATGGACATTAAGCTGGTTTAGTACAATTCTCTCTAGGATCTTAGAGAAGGCAGAGAGGTTAGACACTGGTCGATAGTTACTGAGAATATCAACATCAGCATTTTCCTTCTTCAAAGTCGGCTTGATGACTGCTTTCTTCATATCTGAGGGAAAAACTCCAGTCTTCAAGGATGAGTTCAAGACGTGGAGTATAAAAGGTGTTAGTTCATCAACACAGTTTTTTAAGAGAAATGCTGGGATCGGATCCAAGCAGCAGAACTTGTTGGACATCTTTGATACCAGGTCTTTGAGTTCATCAGCTGTTATCTCAGAGAAATTATCAAAGATGCAGTCTTTGTCAAGAACAGGATCTTTGTCTTTGTCTTTGTCTTTGTCTTTGTCTTTGTCTTTGTCTTTGTCTTTGTCTTTGTCTTTGTCTTTGTCTTTGTCTTTGTCTTTGTCTTTGTCTTTGTCTTTGTTTATATCTTTGTCTTTGTCTTTATCTTTGTCTTTGTCTTTGTCTTTGTCTTTGTCTTTGTCTTTGTCTTTGTCTTTGTCTTTGTCTTTGTCTTTGTCTTTGTCTTTTCCTTCCTTCTCACTGGCTTGTCTGATGGTTGCAACCTTTTCAGCGAAGAAATCTTTGAAATCTTCTGACAGTTTCACAGGATCCTTGTAGTTTGGAAGGTTTTGGGTGTCATTTCCTAAAAGCCTGTTGACTTTTTTGTACAACGCTTTAGTATCCCCTGAAGAGGACCTAAGAGAGGTTTTGTGGTGAGCGCATCTTTTGACAAACTCTAGTCGGGAAAACTCATCTCTTAGCTTAACATAATCCGATCTCAGGTACTCAGATCTTGTACTGTCTATATAGTCTACTTTATCTTTTCTCCACGCACGTTCAGCAGTTCTTCTCTTTCGCCTGAGAATACGAAGTTCCAGGTCTAACCAGGGCATTGGCTTCTTAGTAATCTTCTTTTTTATGTAAGGACAGTGTTTATCCATTAACTGAGTGAGCACAGTGTTGTAAAGGACAACAGCATCATTCGGAGACATGTCTTTAGGGAAGTTTGTCAGTTTTGAAATTAAAATATCTTCTTTAAACTGTTCTGTATCATTTAAATTAAAGTTTCTGTAGTTCATGAATTTTGCGTCTTCTTTGGTCTTTGTCTTGATGTCTGCATCGAAGAGGACAAGGAAGTGGTCAGATTTGGTTCTAGAGGGACAGATTTCAAATGAAGTCAGTTTTTCCTTGAAGGATCGGTTAGTCACTACAAGATCTAGGGTTCCACCTTGGTCATGGGTTGGCTCAAGGGGAACGTGTTGGTATAGATCATACTCCTCCAGGAGTTGGTAGAGCTTCTTTGGGTAGTGTTCTTCAGGCTTTTCCATGTGAAAGTTGAAATCTCCAGCAATGATGGGGAAACCAGGTTTGACTGTGAGGTCTTTAAGGTAGTCTTCGAATTCTTCTAGAAAGGCACACTCCGTGTACCGAGCCTTCTTGGTATAAGGAGGCCGATACAAGTTCACAAGTCTCACAATATCTTGTTGAGATTGTAGCAGTGATTCCATCACTTGGAAGGATTTGTACTTCATGACCTTACTATTACACTTTAACTGGAGCACATCACGAAATAGCATAGCTATACCTCCTCCTCCTCTGTGTTTTCGTGGATCCGAGAGTATATTCCAACCAAGGTCTTTGATCTCCTTTATCTTAGCTGTGTTTCCATCACGAAAGAAGGTTTCTTGTACAAAACAGATGTCACAATCAACTTCTCGAAGATGCTCTAACACTCCGACTGTTTTGTTCACTAAGGATCTAACATTGAACGTTCCAATCCTTAAACTCTTCCTAGGCGTAGTTTGGTCTCCTTTGTCTTCTGTATGTACCAGTTTTTTGCATTCTCACATCCTGCTGTCCTATTCATTATTCCAGTCCGTTCTCTTACATACGAGGGACATAGGTTATCAGAGGCTTTATGGGTCTTTGCTGAGTTCTTCTCCGAGTGTTTACTACTTTTGGCGCAGTTAGAGCACTTTATCTTTTTTACATTATTTTCACTCTTGTTGTTACAATCTTTCGACTTGTGGCTTCCTGCACAGAAGAAACATGTTGGGTCTTTATCTTTGGCTTTACGGTACATGGAGTTGGCCATGTGACCAAATTCCTGGCAATGATAACATTGAATGACATGAATTCGGTCTGTGACATGGTGTTCCCTGAGGTCAATGTGTATATAATCTCTGTTTTGTCTGATTAACTCACGCATTGCTGCAGTGACACGGATGACAGCCGATTTTTCAATCTCATCGAAGAAAACCACTTTTACTGCATCGTCTTTTCCAGAAGAGGACTTCAGTATTTCATTCTTTTCCAAAAGTTTCTCTAGCAATGTCTCCTTGTTTGTGATGTCAGAGGGAATATTCCGAATAGACAGTTTGGGGTCCAATTTCTTTCCTGGTTCAGACTTTTTCGATACCTTGTATTTATCTTGACTTTTAAATACCGTCTCAGCTTTGTTAAGTTGATCCTTGGTACTGAACTTGAAAGTCGCAGTACTTCCGGACACTCTAAAATTCTTCACTGGGTTTATTTTAAGGGAACCTTTCATTTCCTTTTCATCATCAATTGTGATAGGTTCTGCGTCTTCAGAGTCTGTGGTCTTTTTCTCAACTGTGAGTGTGTGTTTTTCTGCAAGCATAGTTTCTTCTTTTGCTTTCTTTTCTTTGGGTAGTGTTGCTACCACTGTATTCAATAAATCTGGTAGTAATGTGGGCAGTACTTCTGCTAGTACCTCTTTGAGCTGTGTCTTTATAATTTCCTTGAAATCTGGTGATTCCTGTACTGTAGTAGTTGTGGCTTGTTTTGTTCCTAAAACTGTTTGTGTTAGTTGAAGAGCATTCTTGGAGAAAGTGTACAAATCCTGGATAACAACAAACATCTCCATTTTTTTATTTGCAGACGTAAGGTCATCAAATATCGCTGATTGAATAGTTACCTTAATCTTATTGTCATTATCATCTTTCTTACCTTTAAACAAAAGAGTATTGCGGTTTATCTTTTCCAATTGTTCCTCCATCTTTTTCATGTCCAACTTCATCTTTTCCATGTCAAAAACCCTGCTAGAAAGATCAAGGACCGAAGGGACAAGTGACAAATTGTCAGTTCTTAAAAAAACTAAACAACTGTTTTGTAATAATTCGATACCTCAAATTATTTGTTATATAGTAGTGTTGAAAGTATTAAAACTTAAGGTTAAGGAGCATGGGAGATATATCTACATTTTTCAATGTTAGGTTACAGAACTACTGGTGGGAACGATGTACAAATAAACCCCTTATCGAGATGGACTTTGAGGGGACATACACCAAAACCTTTTTTGCCGGGACCCGGGATTTGACTTCATATTATGAAAGTATATATTACAACTGTAAGATCTGAGGCATTGAAAAAAATTTTTGAGAATATATACGCACATTCGAAAAAAAATTATTTTCTTTTTCGAAAATTTTGAAAAATGATTTTTTTACTAAACGTTACTTACAATCCGGGCAAGAAGCCTTCCAATGGATTATACAATTATATATCATATTTTAAGCGTTTTATAATTTATTTCTTCGAAATTTTGTATGGGTTTATTTACCGTTAAGTTTTTTCGTATTAGTTTTCCATAATGCCAAAAATGGAATCAAGTAATCCTCATTCTGGACATTTATGTATATTACATAAACATAAAGTAAAATATTTATAGCAAATACTTGGAATGCTAATAAAAACGAGATATTTTACGATTCTAAGATAGTTTATTAATCAAAACTATCGCGATTTCCCAAAGCTTCAGTCACATTAGAAGTGGATAAGCTCGAAAAAAGCAGTCATGGCGCGATATTTTCTTATCGCTAAACGTGAATTCATGATTGCTACCTGCCAGCTAAAACACATACCAAACGTGAACATGAACAACAGATCGGTCATCTTGCCTCGGTCATCTTGCCCCTTTATTATTTAATTGATCTGTTCGCGGAATTTAGGAATTCGCGCTCCGAATCTGCTCGGAAACCAAAGATCTGTGAGTCATGATGTCATAATTATGTGAGGTACGGGAAATAAAAATAATAGATATTAAAAAAGAATGAGTGCGGCCGCAGGTCGGTCCAGACATCGGGATTCCCGAATCCTGGGATTTCCCAACGATTTTCAGTCGGGAATTCCCGACCGGGAAATTTTCTCAATTCCCGGTTTCGAGAATTTTAAATATTTGAGTTATAGTTGCAAATTTAAGAATATTCGATGAATTGACTGCAATATAATTTTAAAAATTAAATTAAAATTTGGGTCATGGCATGGACATGACTTTATTACACAAAATTGGACTTAGAGATGAGCACCATTTGCTTTCGGGAATCCCGATTTTCGGGAATGCCGGGATTTTTTTTGGTCGGGATTCCAGAATCCCGGGATTATTTATTTTGATCTGGATTGACTTCACTACAGCTGATAGTGATATTGTTTAGATAACCGGGTTAGCATCTTTAGTCTTTACCATCCAGCTTGGCCAGGAAACTGACGGCAATCGTTTATCTAGAAGAGGAGAAGTGGTCAGCCGTCTACACTAGGAATCAGGGCTTTCCTAGTTTATGTTGATTTGGAACAACCTTACAAAATTCCTTGAATTTTGTGGTGAAATGTGAATAATGTTTTATAACAGTCTTTACCAATACCTACTTTATTTGGCACACTTAAAAAGCAACATTTAATTCAATAAATTGTCCAGACCTCCAATTTCGGCAGATCAATTTCCCGGATATTGCTGGCATATGAGTAATCAAATTTCCACGAATAAGCCCTTCACTAAAAACTCCAATTGTCCTTCTATTCACAGATTTCTACAAATAATGTAAAAATTCCCGAGTATCGAGCGGAGCTCATTGTCTAGCGTGATTTCCCGAATAATAATGGTTTCTGTAGAATGTAGAAAAAGAACTTGTCTAAGTGGTAGTATTAATTGTAAAAGATATCATAATATGATGAGGAGTATTGGAAAAGTTGACAAGAAGCCAGAAGTCACATCTCATATCATTTGAGGACAACATGACACTCCAAAACCTTGAACATAACACGAGAAAATATGGACAGAACTGAACAAGAACAAAAACCACATTCAAAGACTGAGGAATCAGGAGGACTCTGCAACCCAGGAATCAACTACTTAATTATCGGTTTGGTATCGACGTTACATACTCTGATTTTCCGACTTAAAACTGACTTAAGAAATCAGGGAATTAATTTTACTTTCCTAAAATTAAATCGTTGATTTTATTCATTCGAGTAAATTGTGCAGAAAGTTGAAGATTTCAATTTTGGAAGCATGCAGGCCGCAGGGATCAAGATCTGATATCGATCGTAAATACTAACAATACTCTAGCACAATTATTGTAACTGCAGTTTTACAGAACTCTAAATACGAGATTGGGGACGGGTTCTATAAACAAACAAACAAACAAGAGACTAAATGAGTCATCCAAATACAAAGCTAGTTCGAATTTGAATCGTATTCTGTTCCAGATCTTTCTTCTTTCACAATTTATTTTTACCTGACAAGGTCAAGTTGAAAACTCCATCAGCTGTAAATAGTATTTTACTAATATTTTTGATATTGCTATGATTAATTAACCCCTCTCTCCCCCACAGAGATTACCTCACCACGCTAAAGTAGTACGAGCCATGTTGAACACTGCAGTCCAGATAAGAGACGGAGCTATCTCTTACTCTACTGGTAACTACATAACCTTTATCAGCTTTGTTAGACTTGATGACTCACTTGATCTAACAGTGATTGTCATAATTTACACTACATGACGCAAACCAAGTCCTCAGATCACAGAATATTCATCACGTGAGTCAAATTAACCAATCCCTCAGGTAAGAACGTGGAGGACCCTGACCAGGAACTGGTACACAGGTTGTTCTCTTCAGTTGGGTTAACATTGGAGGCAGAGGAGAAACACTTGGTTGCTGTTATGGGTCTCAGTGGTAGTGGTCCAGCCTATGTGAGTTAGTTATCCAGTGATAAGTTATAATTATTTCCAGTCAAGTATAGAGGGGCGCAGCTGCTATCTCTATTTGATCTACCTTACTCGGGATTATTATGACCGGGATAAAGTGGTGGGTTTAGGGTAATTTCGCCATATTTTTCCCGAACCACATTTTCACCGGTTGTTAATAAACCCGCCTACTCAGCTTTTAGGGTTCCCAAGGGGTATGGGTGCTCATATTTTAATCGTTGTCTTATATTCACTAAAGTCAAAGAAGACTATTGGGACACTTGTTGTAGGTTTTTCGACTTCATTTGGCTAAAATTGCAAAAAATTCACCTTTTTGCCCAATTCTTGTCATATATCCTTATTGTCAAATTTGATTTAAATAGGCCAATTTTTAATATCTTAGGTATTGAATATCTCTACATAATGAAATAGGACTCAAAGTAAAAGTAACAGTTAAATTAAAACTTGAATTAATTAAAACTGATGAAAGGGATGATCCAGATGAAGATAACGAAGATGATTACAACTTATTGGAAGACTAAACAGCTCTCCCTTTATCTTAACTAGCAGGAACCCGTATAATATAACCCTAAACGGTGTCAAGAGTCAAAATACTAAAATAGTTATTACCTATTTAATTGGCGTTTTTGACACCACTTGGGGGTCCAAATTTTCGGTTCTAAAATCATTATTCCTTGGCCAATTATTTATTTTTTCATGCTGATTTGAAGGCCATCAAAGCATTTGACCCAGCCAAAAAAGTTCCAGTTGTATATCTTTTACGGTTTATGCGGAAAGTCGCGTTAAAGTTGATGCCGTGGTGTCAGTAAAATGGCACAGATATATATATATCGTCTCGCTTTATATATAGTAAGATATCGATCTGGTTGTTACGCTTCAAATGTTAAAAATTATTTTCCATCTAGTTTGATTAACCACGAGTCATTATTTCTGTCTACTTTCAACAATTATTATGATAATTCGACTTGTTTCACAAGTTTTAGCAATGCGAAAATTTCTAAACTTGCTTATCTCTAATAAGGAAATTTAAATGGCAAGTTTCCATAAACGATATTTTATGATCGTCGCCGATAATCGCTTATTGAGCGCTTTTTCGGCGCTTTTTTAAAAAAAAAACCGTTTACAATCGCTTTTTTTACGATTATAAACGGTTCAAAAAAATCGCTTATAATCGACTATAATTGGTGTCATAATTCAAAAAAGCGCTTTTTTGAATTTAAAAGCGCTTATAAGCGCTTTTAAGCGCTTACTAGCGTCGCTGAGCGATTTGAAAGCGGTTTTCCAGTAGGATTAGCGCCAAAAACGGGTGGATAAGCGGTTGGCCGGATAAGCGATTCGTAGGCGCTTTTTTGAACCATTTATAAGCGATTATAAGCGCTTATAATTGGGGTGCAATTTAGCTGTTTGTAAAGCGCAAATAAAGCGCTTATAAGCGCTTTTAAAATTGAGTCAGGAAAACGCTATATTACATCTTATAACCGCTTATAATCGATTATAAGCGTTTTTTTAGAAATCGCTTATAACGGCTAATTCATCGCTATTTCACCGCTTTTACCGCTTTTCCTATCATCCATGACCAGGTGAGCAGGAATTAAAAAGCGCTTATAAGCGCTTTTTCGATGCTGCCCCTAGCCTGGTCGGAACGGGGTAGTGCCCGGAATTTAAAAGCGCTTATAAGCGATTTCTCAATTCCCCTTAACCTGGTTGGAACTTTCATGTGCTTTTCTGAGCAACCTGGGGTGCACCGGCAGAGTCAGGATTTAAAAGCGCTTATAGGCGCTTATGATCGCTTTTCTACCACTTTTCCTATCACCCATGGCATGGGTTGGCAAGAATTATAAAGCGCTTATAAGCGTTTTTCAATGCTGCCCCTTACCTGGTCGGAACTGGAAATCAGAGTGCCCGCTTATAAGTGCTTTTCTGAGCAACCTGGGGTGCACCGGCAGAGTCAGGATTAAAAAGCATTATGATCGCTTTTCTACCGCTTTTTCTATCACCCATGGCCTGGTTGGCAAGAATTATAAAGCGCTTATAAGCGTTTTTTCAATGCTGCCCCTAACCTGTTTGGAACGGGGGTGTGCCCGGAATTAAAAAGCGCTTATAAACGATTTCTCAATTCTCTTCAACCTGGTCGGAACTGGAGAGTGCCCACTTGCATGTGCTTTTTTGAGCAACCTGGGGTGCACCGGCAGAGTCAGGATTTAAAAGCGCTTATAGGCGCTTATGATTGCTTTTCTACCGCTTTTCCCATCACCCAAGGCCTGGTTGGCAAGAATTATAAAGCGCTTATAAGCTTTTTTTCAATGCTGCCCCTAACCTGGTCGGAACGGGGGAGTGCCTGGAATTAATAAGCGCTTATAAGCGATTTCTCAATTCCCCTTAACCTGGTCGGAACTAGAAATCAGAGTGCCCGCTTATAAGTGCTTTTCTGTGCAACCTGGGGTGCACCGGCAGAGTCAGGATTTAAAAGCGCTTATAGGCGCTTATGATCGCTTTTCTACCGCTTTTCCCATTACCTAACCATGTGCTTTCGCGCCACTTCGGGCGCGCTTGTTTCACAAGTACGTCAAGAAGTGAGTGGGCGCGCGCTACTGCAAGCGCAAGGGCTCTGGATAGAGCAAATGGCACCCAGCTAGTGAGGCGAAACTCACTGATCTTTCCAAAAAGGTATGACAAATTTGGTATTGTGAAAATTCTCACAGTCTCTAGAAAACAGTGTTACAAAAAAATTTTAAAATCTGAGCAAGTTTATTTTATCGTCCACCCCTAATCCAAAGCCGTTGAGCTTTGATCTAGCCGCCAACCCTCCATCGATTTTGGCAACCATATATTGGTTCCCAAAATTTCCCGCACTTTGCAGTTTCTGCAGTAGGGGTAATTAGGTATAAACTACAGTACAGCTGTACTTACAATCACATTCACAAGCATGCAAGCTCACCTGGTCCAATGAGCCTAGCGGGAAACAAAAAACGTTTTAATTAGTTTGTTAAACGAAGTGTCGTACGTCACCTTAAGATCGGGTGACAGGGTGCTTACAATTCGCGTTACTGGGCGGCGCTCAGCCTGTCATTATCTGCATTCCGCCAAATCTTTATTCGGGCTGAGTGAATTACGACTTTCATCGCCCTAAAAAAGTGCGAATGCTCATTGGACTAGCATTCACGTGATCGTTCAGAACCAATTAGAGCCGCGCAAAAGATCACGTGCACGCCAACTACCAATAAAAAAGAAGTGACGTATGCACTACAAGAGCCGCGCGCTGAGTTAGATTGTAAAATCTGATTATTTGATTGTAAAATCGCATAAACACGCCTATTTGCGCGTTTTAGAGGGTTTAATTACGCCAGGCTATGCTTATGAACATACTAGCTTGGGGTCACCTGGTAAAATTCGCGCCACTTGTTTCACAAGTAAAGAAAAGCATCAACTCGCCTTCGTGCGCGCGCCCGCAGTATTCATGTTGCCACGCGCAACGTCAGATTGCAGATATGAGGACAAAATTTTGACACCCAATATAAAATTGCTTAAATCCGTGCCCAGGCTGCAAGCATTTTTTCGCACAAGTACCGCCTCTGTGTCACCGGGAGGTGGGGCGCCACTGCAAGCGTAAAAACCCGGGTACTTAAACATTAAAGCAATCCGATTATTTTAAGAGTCAATGTTAGCGCGCGCCGTATTTGTGCGAAGCGCAATGTTGAACGTGATTGCGAGAATTGACGGGTGACACTCGTAAAATATTTGTTCCATATATTGGAGTCCAACTCGGCTTTTACTAATTCGCTCGCCCAAAAATTTCACGTGACTTTGGTTTTTATGGTTTTGCAGCCGTACAAAACGGTTTTACATAAATCCTAATCCCAACCCTAACCCTAACCATAACCCCGAAGTTAACCATAACCCGTTCCACAAGCCTAGCTAACCCTAACCCGGGCCCTAAACAATCGAATTCGTATTTTACTAGCCTAGCCTGTCACGTGACCAAAACGGATTTTTGCCCATAACTCTCCAGGGAAGCATTTTAACCCTACGTCATGGGGGGTGATTCGGAATCAGCGTCCAAAAATACACATATATGGATCATTTTCATGCCCCAAAGGGCCTTTTCACAAGAATTTCCTTAAAATTTGGGCAAGCGATTTAGTAGAAGCGGTAGAAAAGCGATCATAAGCGCCTATAAGCGCTTTTAAATCCTGATTCTGCCGGTGACCCCAGGTTGCACAGAAAAGCACTTATAACTATAAGCGGGCACACTGATTTCCAGTTCTGACCAGGTTAAGGGGAATTGAGAAATCGCTTATAAGCGCAGCATTAAAAAAGCGCTAATGAGCGCTTTTTAATTCCGGGCACTCCCCCGTTCCGACCAGGTTAGTGGCAGCATTGAAAAAGCGCTTATAAGCGCTTTCTAATTCTTGCCAACCAGGCCATGGGTGATAGGAAAAGCGGTAGAAAAGCGATCATATGCGCTTTCAATTCCGGGCACACCCCTGTTCCGAACAGGTTAGGGGCAGCATTGAAAAAACGCTTATAAGCGCTTTATAATTCTTGCCAACCAGGCCATGGGTGATAGAAAAAGCGGTAGAAAAGCGATCATAAGCGCCTATAAGCGCTTTTAAATCCTGACTCTGCCGGTGCACCCCAGGTTGCTCAGAAAATCACATGCAAGTTCCGACCAGGTTAAGGGGAATTGAGAAATCGCTTATAAGCGCTTTTTAATTCCGGGCACTCCCCCGTTCCGACCAGGTTAGTGGCAGCATTGAAAAAGCGCTTATAAGCGCTTTTTAATTCCGGGCACACTCCTGTTCCGAACAGGTTAGGGGCAGCATTGAAAAAACGCTTATAAGCGCTTTATAATTCTTGCCAACCAGGCCATGGGTGATAGAAAAAGCGGTAGAAAAGCGATCATAAGCGCCTATAAGCGCTTTTAAATCCTGACTCTGCCTGTGCACCCCAGGTTGCTCATAAAAGCACATGAAAGTTCCAACCAGGTTAAGGGGAATTGAGAAATCGCTTATAAGCGCTTTTAAATTCCGGGCACTACCCCGTTCCGACCAGGCTAGGGGCAGCATCGAAAAAGCGCTTATAAGCGCTTTTTAATTCCTGCTCACCTGGCCATGGATGATAGGAAAAGCGGTAAAAGTGGTGAAATAGCGATGAATTAGCTGTTATAAGCGATTTCTGAAAAAACGCTTATAATCGATTATAAGCGGTTGTAAGATGTAATATAGCGTTTTCCTGACTCAATTTTAAAAGCGCTTATAAGCGCTTTATTTGCGCTTTACAAACAGCTAAATTGCACCCCAATTATAAGCGCTTATAATCGCTTATAAATGGTTCAAAAAAGCGCCTACGAATCGCTTATCCGGCCAACCGCTTATCCACCCGTTTTTGGCGCTAATCCTACTGGAAAACCGCTTTCAAATCGCTCAGCGACGCTAGTAAGCGCTTAAAAGCGCTTATAAGCGCTTTTAAATTCAAAAAAGCGCTTTTTTGAATTATGACACCAATTATAGTCGATTATAAGCGATTTTTTTTGAACCGTTTATAATCGTAAAAAAAGCGATTGTAAACGGTTTTTTTTTTAAAAAGCGCCGAAAAAGCGCTCAATAAGCGATTATCGGCGACGATCATAAAATATCGTTTATGGAAACTTGCCATTTAAATCTGAGACAAAATTTTTGAATCTAAAATTGAAAGGTTGGACACCGGTAAAATGGCGACCGGGAAAATGTGGTGGGTTTTGAGCAATTTTGCCATATTTTTCCCGAACCATATTTTAACCGGTCGTTAATAAACCCGTCGTAATAATCCCGAGTAAGGTATTAGATATCCTGTTGTGGGAATATTTACACATCACCGTTGTAGCTGTGTTTAAAATGATTGATTGCTTAAAACGGTTGTTAACATATTTCTAGGTTCTGTTCAGTTAGAATATTCCATTTCTACTAGACTTTTATTTATCACCCTGCAAATATCAAACCCCAACTTGCCTAACCTAAGATGAGAAGTACGGACTCGTTTAGGGGGAAAAGTACGTACTTGTACGCAACTTTGAAAAGTCCGACTCATACGACGTACGATTAAGATAGAATTTTTTTGTTTTTGAATTATTATCATCAGGGCGGTTGTAAAACGTAAATGTAATTGTTTGCCGATGTTAGAGAAAATATGCCGTTCGCGAACAAATTGAACACACAATTCTTAGATCAGGCAGGCATTTAAATTTAAAAGTAAAACAAAAATTACTAGACAATTTACTTATTCAAACAGCTTGTTTAAAAGCTGTTTTGAAAACGCTCAATATAAGTCATTAACTTGCGATTTAGAACTCTTCCATTAATTTCTAGAAGGAGAACTTTTCAGTAGAATTGAAAAGTACGTACGATACGAGTAAATTGAAAAGTCCGACTCATTCGTACTTCTCATCTTAGTGCCTAACCCTACTTCATTTCCTCAGTTTTACTTGATACTGGAGGCACTGAGTGACGCCGGTGTAAGACATGGCCTCAGTAGAGACGTTTCTACAAGACACGCTAGTCAGGCTATGCTGGTAAGTCTTCTTTAGTCCTTTGTTACGATCTACTGAAAACAGTTAGCTCAGTTCAGTCCTCTTCTAAGTTATTGCACGTGCTGATTGTCAATGTTCAGGGTGCTGCACGTATGGTGCTGGAGTCAGGGAGACATCCAGGAGAGGTGAGTCACGGGTAACACCCAGATAATCTATATAGTGCGGGAATCCCCTAACTTAGCAACGTTGTGACGCTTTTACATTTTATTGTGAATTATTTCCAAATTAATAGGGTGCTTTTCTATATCCTGCTTTTACACATAAACAAGGTTCATCTAACCAATAAGGGCCATTAAAGATTCTAAAACCATTTACATTTCTCCTTAGTTGAAAGACGAGGTTTGTTCTCCTGGAGGTGTCACTATCGATGCTATCTATTCGATGGAAAAAGCCGGCGTACGTGCAGCAATGATGGACGCAGTGGACGCGTGCATTAAACGGAACTACGAATTATCTCGGTTAAATGAATAAATTACAGAGAACTGGCATAGGGAACATTGCTGGGATTAAAGTTACGACTATAAATTATAGTCGTAAATTTAATATAGTATACTTTAATACAGTATAATACTGTAGACTATATTTGTGATTATATTTATGACTATGGTCTTTATAATCAGACGGATAGTAATTGATGTTGTGTGATGATGTTGTGTTTATGACAACGTATTTTTATTTTTATTTCGATTGGGTCAGGGTAAGTCATAAATACTAATCCGAATCGATCGTTTTTATCTTTCTGTTATTCAGTTTGATATTAATTTATTGATATCAAACTTATTGTTTGATGTTTATTATCGTAATTAATATATTTGTGTGAAGTAATTATTAACTTGCTTTCCTAATTGGAAGTCTCAGATCTCAGAACAATTATTATAATGTTGGTGGGTTGATAGTTCTTAATTGATGTTTAATTTGTACAAAAACTGCAGCACAACTGTGCCTTCTGCTTGGTAAAGGTCAAATATAACGGCTTCATGACGTTACATCAACGTCGCTCGAAAGTCTATCCTTAACATTGCTAATACTTATAAAGCAACTCCTCCAATATAAAGCTGCAAACTCCGCAGTTAGCCTGATATAACGAGCTAAATTAGGAGACGTCTGTGCGGGTTATTGAACGGAGAGGTGTCCTAATTTCCTGGTTCTTAAGACCTTAATTTGCCACGTGGTCACAAGTTTCAGTTTTAGTGATAGACTGAACCAGATTAGCTGATATTACTATAAGCAATTAACTGCCAGTCGGTCATTTGATGTGTAGTGCTTGGTTGAAGTTACGTTTTGTAAATATCAGTAATAAATGAGCTATATCAATGACAATATGTGTAACACTTTTGTTTCGTTAAGTTGCTTTCTTTGCCTTTTATTCGCATAACAATAATCAACATTGTGATTGCAATTGAATAATAGACGATGTATATAATAATATTAATAATTTGCGTCGTCGTATTCAGCGTTTGGCGTTATCATTATCAATGTGATGTCAATTTATCTAGCATATTTCATATTATTGATTATAACGATTAAAACTATGGCACTAATTTGACATGTTCAATTGTAAATGCAAACTGAAACTGAACATGAAAGGTATTGCATATATATTGTGTTTAAGATTTGAAACGGTAACGTTACTTGTTATTTTCTTTTTGATGGATGATACTCTTCTAAATTTGTTCTAAGTAGCGCGTGCCGCTTTGTTCGTGCACGAGGTGCACGAACATTTGAGCAACGATCAGGTTGTTTATTGTTCATAAAGAATTCCCTGCGATTTCTATGCACTCAGAGCTGAGTTGCGATTCTTCTGTGATTAACTTATTGTATCATGTCTTGAATGACGATGTCAACCCTTCCAAATCGTCGATGCTGGATGCGAAGCAGAAACAAAAAAAAATAGTTCACGTTGAATCGGCCGGCAAATTCCTTCAATGGTACGGTATGTCAAATTTCAATATACATTATTGTATTGGAAAGAGCAGTGAAATAACAAACAATTGCAACAAAAATGAAATTATTTAGAGTGTCATGTGTTTAAATATTATAAAAAAACACGTTTGCACGTGCGAATATATGCGATAATTGCATGTACGTGGGAAAATAGCCTAATTTCAAAATCAATATTGCGAATCCCCGTTAGGAGGGTGCTGCGACAGTAATTTTGCTGCAAGTGCAATGAGTCGATTTTTGAGTTTGTCATGTATGTACTCGAAGTTAAGTACTGCGTGCTTGCCACATGCGCTGCCAGCTGCCAGCAACGAAGCATGGCACTCGCCGCGCCACTCAGGCACAATTCACAAAGGTCAAAGCTTTGAAGTATATAGTAGCACGCGCCGGGTCAGTTCATTAACAATACTGAATACACAATACATCATACATACAATTAAATCATAACTTGACGGATGTTACTCGTCTAAATTTCTTCGAAGTAGCGCGCGCCGCTTTCTTCTCGAAATGGCCCGATGGAACGAGCTACAAAGTAGCGCGCGCCGGGCCAAATCATTAACAATGGTCAAATCATAACTGGCGCCGCGGACAATTCTCTCTCCGCACCGAATCTTAAAAATTATTTGTTAACTGCATGTAACAATTTAAAACATGAAACTTAAAGAATTAAATTGATTGACGATGTTGTAAACAAATAATATTATAATACTAGTCGTCTAATTTTCAATTTTGTTCCAAATTAGTAGCGCGCGCCGCGCCACTAAAATTTCTTTTAGGTCAAATTTGTAGGTTTATAACTAACCAAAACGCGCGCCGATCAGTTAATATAAACTCGTTGACGGTCTAATTTGATTGAAAAATTTTTCACAAATATCACCTGCGCAGTTAAGCTCAAATTAGCGCGCGCCGGGTCAGTCCATGCCATTAACAATGCAATGGACAATGATTGATGATATGATTTTGCAATCCTTCACAGTTCGTAGGGCCGGCCAGGCCATTTCATTGTGCCTTGTTGCTTGCATGGCAAGCATGGCAATGGCTAATAAACATTGCATTAGTAAACCCTGCCATAGTCAGTTGAAAGTCTGATAGCATATGTTCCGTTTGATTTGACCAAACTAATGCCTTTCATTGCTTTATTACACAGTAGTTATATATATATCTTTTGAATGTTCTATTGTTACATGTTATGTTGGTGAATTCTGCATGTGCTATTAATTGGCTTCAGTTGACATTTGAGGACACCAAGTGACTAGTTTTTAATTAATATAATAAGTGAGTTCCATTTGGTCTGGTATAGTAGTTTCATAATAAGGGAACACTTAGAATTGCTCATGATACATTGTGCATTGTTATAAAGTAAAGTAAAGTAAAGTAAAATGTATGACATCACATTATCACACATGTCTACAAAATATCATCGCACTATGTGAAAAAATATATAATAAATACTTCCCCACCAACATTGATTATTTATCAAATACAATTTTTTTTAAAAGTATCAAAAACATTATTCTATTTTAAAAACTTCCCAGTGGAATAAAGATCTACAAAACGCTTCTTTGCCACATAAGGATGTGACTTCAAAACCGAATTGCGAATATTAATAGCACTGACGTGTAGATATTTGTAGAAACATTTTGTGAAAAGACATTTCTTGCCTTATGGAAACCGTTTCTTTTCTGGAAACCCCTTCTTCTTTTATGGAAACCCCTTCCTTTCATCGAAACCTCTTCTTTTCTAAGCCCCTTCTTTTCTAATATAAACCCCTTATTTTCTAAAATGCTGAATTTTTAGCCTGAGCATTGTATATCCGATTCAGTTTTTATACACATTTATTATATATACTCAAAATAATCGAAAGAGGGTGTGGTAATCATGCAACATAAGTGGATTGCCATATGGAAACTACTTATACAGTCACACAATTCTTTTTAATTGAAAGGTCCATCCGGGCAGAAGCCCAGAGACAGAAAGGCATAAAGACATAGGCAGTAGCCTAGATTTGCCCTCAAAAACGTGAAATTCCTCTAGCTAGCACATTGACTTCATCCCAACTTCGCAGTTGTTTTACGTCCCGATTCGCAAAGAGGCCGCTCACTTGTGCTAGCTTGTGCGCAACTTATACCTGACATACTTGAAATAGCTTATATATACAAGCACCTAATTTACACTACTACCCTTATTTGTAGCCATTAGAGCAAACACAGCGATCCTTGCAGAAGAAATGCCACTTCATATCGATCTATTGTTTGGTGGGATGAGTAAATCTGTGCTTACACTCCTAACCATTAAACTAATTATGTATTTATCTATTGAAAGTGACACTCAGATATAAATAGAAATTTGATCAGGAGTAACTTCTAATAGAGTTATCATGACTACGATTGGGTTCATAGGAGCAGGAAAGGTTACCCAGGCCTTAACGAAAGGACTTCTTTCTTCAGGTAAAAACCTAATTATTGTATTGGTTATTTTAGGATCCTACTATCATATTCGTTTTCTCATGAAAAACATGTTAGCGCTAGGAAACTAGATTTGGGAAATTGAAATTGAAGCCTGTAACTTTTTCAGGTGCAGTAACTCCATCTCGTATCTATGCAAGTTCAAAGACTGAAGTATCCCTTCAAAAACTTAAGGTTTAACTTTCAAAACATTCAATCGCCTTTTGAAATCCTCAAATTATTGTCATGTATGCATTTCCATTAGGGAAAACCAAATTTTGATCAAATTGCAAATTATTGTTTCTATAATTCAGTTAAATAATGACAAATAATCCCATGGTTTCAGGTGTTTGGTGTGAACACGTGTCTGGATAACTTGTGGACTGTGAAGAACAGCAACATAACCATACTGGCTGTCAAGCCTCTTGTTTTCCCCAAAGTACTTCACGAGATAGCCCCCGCTGTCGGACCCGATAATGTGATCGTTTCTCTGGCAGCAGGTGTCACCATTGACTCTATACAACAGGTAAAGAGGCTAAATGTGTCATCCAAATGCAATGATTCGAATTTTAATTCTGTTCCAGATCTTTCTTCTCTTGCAATCTATGTTTGCCTAACAAGGTAAATTTAAAAACTCCATCAGCTTTAAATAGTATTTTACTAATATTTTTGATATTGCTATGATTTGACCCCTCTGACCTCTCCCCCACAGAGATTACCTCACCACGCTAAAGTAGTACGAGCCATGTTGAACACTGCAGTCCAGATAAGAGACGGAGCTATCTCTTACTCTACTGGTAACTACATAACCTTTATCAGCTTTGTTAGACTTGATGACTCACTTGATCTGAAAGTTATTGTCATCAGTTACACTACATGACGCAAACCCAGTCCTCATCATCACGTGAATCAAACTAACCAATCCTTAATCTCAGGTAAGAACGTGGAAGACTCTGACCAGGAACTGGTACACAGGTTGTTCTCTTCAGTTGGGTTAACATTGGAGGCAGAGGAGAAACATTTGGACGCTATTGTGGGTCTCAGTGGTAGTGCTCCAGCCTATGTGAGTTAGAGATGACCCAGTATTTAGTGGCGCCAATGGTAATGGCGATTTTTTGTTGTTGAGAATTTTGTTCGAACAAAATAAAAGGCTTAAAAGCAATTTAACATTAGAGATAATTTTCAACGATCAACGATTCAAATAATTTGATTTTGATATTAAGGATTGAAATCTTGCATTGTGAAATAAAAATCTGGCAAGAAATTATTGTACCGATTTAGGAATCAAACCCTACTTCATTTCCACAGTTTTACTTGATACTGGAGGCACTGAGTGACGCCGGTGTGAGACATGGCCTCAGTAGAGACGTTTCTACAAGACACGCTAGTCAGGCTATGCTGGTAAGTCTTCTTTAGTCCTTTGTTTTTATTGTCAGAAGATTTGGGCTTATTTAATATATCTTCTTTTAGGTCAGGGTCGTTGAATGCAGATTTGATTTTGATATTTGCTTTTTGACATTTTGCTAAATTTTATTTATTATAACTAAAGAAACCTCTGCTTGTAGCACACTTAGTACGAAACAAGATTCGCAATTGATTTACCTCAATACTTAGGGTGCCGCTAGAATGGTACTTGGAACTAATCCAAGGCAGGGTTCCAAATCCAAGCCTCCTGAAGTTAGAAGCCCATTTAAGGTAGAGGGTTGCTATTTCCTTATAAGGAGATAGTAACACGGTATTATATTGCTGTGCTAAATGTAAGTTTGTGTGCTACAAGCAGAGGTGAACTAGTCTGGCTGCCTTCAGATCCTTGATGAGAGTATGCCAAAACCCAGCATAATGTGCAGATTCTCATTGTGATCTACTGAAAACAGTTAGCTCAGTTCAGTCCTCTTCTAAGTTATTGCACGTGCTGATTGTCAATGTTCAGGGTGCTGCGCGTATGGTGCTGGAGTCAGGGAGACATCCAGGAGAGGTGAGTCACGGGTAACACTCAGATCCCAAAGATAACAACGTTGTGACGCTTTTATTGTGAATTATTTACAATTTCAATTAAGAAAGTCCGGAAAGAAGAAAATTATGTGTAGAGTTTGATTATCAATCAGAAACTACCAATAATATCGTAATGACATTGATACGTATATAAGACTTGTCCAGGTTTCTGCATATTGTGGGGACCGGACACTCTACTCACATCCGTTTTGAACAAAGTTAATGGTTGCAGTAAGGGTTTGGGATAGTGTTGGGAGTAAGGATAGGGTTGGTTAGCTATGGGTGTTACATTTGCGAAGAGTGGGTGAAACATTGGATTTTCAAGTGAATCTTACAAATCTACACGTGACTGACTAATGAAAGAGGCCGCAGTAAAATGTTAATTCTGCTGTCTGCAGTTGCTAACTTCCTTAAACCTAATGTTTATGTCATTACCAAGTTGGTAATATGGAAACATTACGCTTGATTTGTCATGACCAAAATAATCACACTTGTCACTTCATGGCAGTTGGCTAGTATAAAAATCCGTTACCGGCTCAGATTACTTATTAGGTTTTCCACTGTATACTCGACAATTTCATCAGCTCTCAGCCTAACACTGGGGTGTAACTATAATATCACGTCATCCATTTTATAGGCGTGATATGTACGCGTGTAATCCAATAGCAGATTTATTCTGTGTAACGATAACTTTTGGAGTACATACCTCTAGATTCTGGAGAATACACTCAGCACACTGCAGTCTTCCTTTGTGTCAACCACACGTCATGTATATGTACAAATTGCACTGTAAACTAAATACATACTCTATTCAGTGTATTATTATTAATTATACAAATTAGCCGCCATGTTTTGGTGACCTCAGGGGAAATTAATAGGAGGCTTTTCAGTGGCGGGGGGGGGGGGGGGGTGGCGCCATCTTAGGGGGGCGCCAAATCGTCGTTTAAATGTGGGACAATTTTAACTGAGGTACTGGGGGGGGGGGGGATCAACAGGCAACGTTACGCCACTGATGCTTTTCTAAATCGTGCTTTTTAATTGCAATCACCAATGAGGGCCATTAATAATTCTAAAACCATTTACATTTCTCCTTAGTTGAAAGACGAGGTTTGTTCTCCAGGAGGTGTCACTATCGATGCTATCTATTCGATGGAAAAAGCCGGCGTACGTGCTGCAATGATGGACGCAGTGGACGCGTGCATAAAACGAAACTACGAGTTAGCTCGGTTAAATCAATAACTTTAGGGAACCGGGAAACATTGCTGGGATTAGAGTAAAAGGACTAGACTGCAGACTGCACTTGTTATTATGACTACAGGTCTTTATAGTTTACTTATTACTGAAAGTAATTGATGTTGTGTGCCAATTGCTGAAGATTGCATATTACTATATTTATTTTTATTTTTATTTTGGTCGGAAAGGCGAGTAATAAATACTTATGGATTGTTTGTATCTTTCTGCTCTTTAGTTTGATTTTAATTTATTGACAGGGTAGTCTCAGATAGGCGATTTATTATTATAATGTTAGTGCTTATTTTAGGAAAGCATTTATTTAAAATATCACTACATTGATTGCATCTATCGGTAACTAACCAACACTTCTTAGGCAATTATTTAATAGAGTTTTGATACATATTTTAATGAACAAATACTATTTAAAATATTTACGAATGGTATTATCTTCTGATTTGATCGAGGAAACGTTGGGTGTTTGAACCAAGTACCTACTTATTGTCTCGATATGTGGTAGTACGGTAAAACTTTGACATCAATTTAAGACTCTCAATTGTGTTATAACAAAGTTGTTGACCAAATTCCTATTTGCAAAGTGAATCGAATAATATCAGTTTGCAAATAGGAATTTGGCATATATGAAGAATACTGCTTTCTTATTGTACCAATTGCTGGCTGAATGTGAAAATTATACAGTTTCTTTTCGAAATTGGACTATGTTTAAATGGTTTAAACAAATTATTCTTAAAATGTTTCTTTATTTTCCAAACAAGCCCGTCGGCTACTGTGACAACTGACAATCGAAACATAAACATACATGCATCTCTTAATGAAAAACCACATTATTTATATTGTAAAACCGGAAGTTCGAATAATTAAGTGATATGACCGAGCATGATGAATCAGATTTTAATGCCGATATTCTATCAAAAGGCAGCTTAAATCTGCAATGAATGGACCAATTCTTGGACGCTGATTTCGAATTAATTCCACTTTTCACCCGTGACATTCCCATATTCGAAAATATTTAAAATTTAGGCCTATAGTTCGGATATGTTTGCTTCAGAGTTTTTATATCCGTTAGATCCACATACAGAACGAGTTAAAGTAAATCACATACAGTAAACATATAGTGACTAATCATTAACTTGATATGACAGCATATTATGCGTTGGCTCGTCGATTTTTAGCTCGTGTATGCTGCTACGTGGAATGCGATTATAGACACCGGGAGATGAATTTTAGCTGAACGCGGTGATTGATTCAAATTTTAAAATGAAAAGTATGATATCGTTATCGCACAAACATGCGTTCCTGTGAGCGCGCAGCACGTAATTGTAGAATAGAGGCCAGGGTCACTGGTCAGCATCCAAGAAGCCCAACCCAATACAGTTCGTACACCAGTCTGCGGACTACTTATTGCGTCTATATTATTATTCTTATATCATTTTGCAACTTGATTAAAAGGCTCCGTTATCATTGACACAATTTAATCTCTGTATTTTCAATACACTTTATTTGAGTATCGATATATAATAGCAAATTAAGAGCACATATATTTCTTTTCAGAATCTGAAATAAAATTGGTTTGTACATTGTACATTGCACAATCACATTGATAAAATCTGATGATGAGTAACATGCTGGGACTACAATAATGTTACACACGATATATATTTACAGTCTGAAATAAAATCTTATCATCTACATTAAGCTATTAAGACTAAAGTTGAAATAATTTCAACAAAAAAGTTTAGTCATAATACATAATAATTGGTAGTGACTAATAAACTGACAGTGACTGAAATAAATATAAGTTTTAACGATGTAACAACACTATAGTACTAGTACTAGTATAAATTCATTGAATAAGAATACAGATCAGCGACCGCTCGCTAAAAGTAAAAATTAAACTAAAAAGAAAAAATCGATTACAAACAATCTAGAGGCTCTAAAATTATTTCCTTCGATGACAACGGATGTCAAAAACGTAGCTCTAATAATTAAAAACATACTTGGCCGTATGTTCAGTTCTACGAAATCTGTCAAGGATCTACCCTACCTCATGATTAATAAATTATCTACAAAATACAATCTACTTGATCGAATAAAGAAGTTCGCTTAAAATTCTAAAGCTGCTCTGGAATAAGTATTACGGAGTTATTATCAGGTGTTTCAGCAGGTTTGGGTGGGCTGGGAGGTGTAATTATCGGTAATTTGGGCTGAATTGAGGGACTGTTTTCCGGTGATTTTAAAGGCGGACCGGCCGCTGGTTTTGGAGACTGGTGATTCGGGGTTTTGGATTTCTGTAGTTTATTGATAAGATCCTTGGCACCTTCAACTTCGTCAATGAGAGTGGCGATCTGATCTCCAACTGTTGAATCTGTTAACTCTTTCAACTGTAAAAATATGGTTACTAAAATTTAATAATCTAATCTTCTAATCTATTTCGACGACTAGACGGTTTCCCCTATAAAAGAGTAATAGTGACTTTAATATATATTGGAACGTGATCAATAATCACTGATGTTATAAAACGTACCTGGTTTTGGATAGCTTCCACCTGATCGCTCAGATTTTTCAAAGATTCCTCGCAATTAGCCTCAATAATTGTCATCTTCTCTTCGACCTAACAAAAAAGTTAACAAACTAGACGTTCAATTTGGCATTGATAGATTCAAAAATTATGTTTTCATTACAAATGTATTGGGGGTAGCACCGTCGCGAACTCAACGTCGTAGACCTTTATGATGTTTTAGAATAAAAAGGGCGGGATGTTGTTAACAAAATAGCATGACGAGATATTTTGCAATCCCCACCATGAATTGCAGAGGGAAAACCCATATCATTGAAACAAACGGCGACAACGCCCTCACAATCTACATATAATTATAAATATAAGATCACTTCAAAGATTGTCATCAACCACGTCACAGACAATTCTAATGGAGGAAACACTTTAATATCATATAAAAAATGTCACAATATCACTGATCACTGATGAAGGTACAACTCATCACATATACCTCATATACATTATTGTTAGAGCTTGAGAGTTCGCTGCGAATAGTGTTCATCTCTTTCTCGTGGGATAGTTTGTCTTGTTTGACTGCGATCTCAGCGTGTATCGTGCTTAGATCACTTTTCCTATGCAGAACAAAACAGTATAGTATAGTAATCAGGACTAATTAATGGTAGTATGGTAATGAGGACTAAATTTCCTAAATTAGTTGGGACTTTTGTTTTTCAATTGGATTTTCAATTGAAGATAACGAAATACCAGGAAGAAGACAGGGCAGCATCATTCATGTTGCCCCCTTTTTCCTGACCGAATGGCACTACTTTAATTCAAGTTCTTCCTTCAAGTTTAAAACTCCTCATACCTGTTATCACACTCGGCACGAAGGACTGTCTCCAAAGTGTCGTAGTTGTTGTTAAGTAACTCCACTCTCTCCTCCAACTTCCTGGCCCTGTCTTCAACCACAGTTACTGTAACAACCTCAATCTGAAATAGTGGGAATAATTAAATTGAAAAGTTTTTTTTAATTTAAAGTAATAAAAAACGCTTACCAGTTCATACACTAGGGGAGGACATTTTAATCGTATAAATCAGCGAGTAACGACAAAAAGGGTGAGATATCTTTTCGTTCTACATTGGAAGGGAGGGGACATATTATAGACCTTTTATTATCAGGTCATTACTACCATTTTACCTACCTGGTCTAGACCGCATAACCATCAAACACCTTTACTAGTGAAGTGACGTTTAAGTACTGAGCTGGTCAAAATTTGGACAAAATCCAGTTTGAGGCCGGAAACACTTCAACCTATCTGGTCTAGACGTTATCGTCATTAAATGCTGTTGGTGGGCGTTGGTGGGCCTTTTTCCCACTTTGCTAGTTAAGTTAGGGAATCTAATTTGGGAAAAATGTTCGAGGCCGTTTATGCCTTGCAAATACCAAAGTCAGGTTTCAGCCGGCATCCCACCGAGATAAATTTTATCATTTTAGCTACCGCCCTGTGCAAACTGTACTGAATATACCAGTGACCAAAATGTTCGGGTTGACTTCATTTCTATACGAAATACGAATTTATGATGTATGATTGGACCGACTTCTGTTTGTAAATCTCATAAGTAGAGTACTACTACTAGGTTCATTACAACAAGCATTTGAAATTTCTGACAGCAAAGCATGATCGGGCTGATTTTCCCTTCAGTTGAAACGTGACTACAGTAATCAAGACGTGACAGTTGAAGACATGACTTGATCTTTCACATTTCATTAGAGATTCTAACCTTGTGTTAGACCATGTCGAATAATTTTCGTTCAATTTGATCTTTCATCCACGTTCGAACCGCTTTATGTTCTAGTTTTATTTAATGTAAATAAGTTAAAGGACAGTAAGTACTCTGAGGCACTCAGACATTGATTACTTCCACAAAGAAACCGTCTGAATGTAGGCTTCTAAATGGATGGTTCACATTCGGAGCTACCAGTCAGCGGAGGGTAATTACCTAAATTATGTGGTAGATGTGGGGGGAAGGGGGAGGGGGAGGAGGAACGGTCAAGGGGGAGGCGGAGGCGGAGTGGGAGGAAAGGGGGGAGGAAGGGGGTGGGGTTCATATTTCCAAGTTTCTATGACTACTTTAGATGACGATGTCTTCTCCGATGAGGTTGAAGCCAGGGCCCCAATTACAAAGTGACAACAGGTCAGCTGCCGGGCTCAGACTTGTTAACTGATCTCTTGATTTGATAACCCAGTATTCAACAAAGCTCTTTTAAATAACCTGTATTTCCCAAATTTGCTTAAAGTACGACCTTAAAGGAAAGAATTTTAAGTGCCACATTAAAGTGGCAATTACCAAGTTGGAACTTAATCGAAATTCGTATTTACCAACTGAAAACACCTCGCACTTTAATCAATAGGGCGACCTCCCACTTATGCGCAAAGTGAACTCCAATCGTCATTCACCAAAATTGTATCACTGAACTGACACTTTAAGTGCAAAATTAGATGTATTGTATTGTATTGTATAAAAATATTATGAATATCAGGAGGTAATTGGGGGAAATTAACTGCTGAGAGATTAAATGGAGGGCATAAAAACACAAAATAATTATAAATTTTAAAAAGTAAGAAGTAGCACAAAGCTAGCACAAAGCTAGCACAAAGCTATCAGGACTCAGGAGGTAATCCATGATCCAATGTTTGCGAAGTTGCTGTAATTCGTTTCTGATTGAAATCCGTTTGTCTGTTTTGTTTGCTCCCGATTTAACTTTAGTAAACTTGAATAATGGATGACTATAACAGTGACTTGTTAGACCGACAACAGCAGCGGGGAGAATCTAGAGTTATTCAGAGCAGGCCTCCCTCATTAAGAGACCAATTGAACCCACTAGAGGCATACGATGACGTCTATTTGGACCTTTACCGATTGTTGACATTCGACATATAGCGTCATCTAGCGTCACTTCACGCTAGATGACGCTAGATGACGCTATATAATGTCGAATTTCCACAATCGGTAAAGATCCGTCGATTTTTATCACCGATTTCGTGTCAAGAAAGAAGGTTTTCTTCTCATCCTGCAAGTCGTAGAGCCCCTACTTCCTCAGTACAGGAAACAAACCAATTCCCCATTGAGCCCAGTACAACAGCTTTCTGTGGCGCAGTACGTTTCATTAAGTCGCAAGTGAGTTTCTGCTGCTCTGTGAAATTAGCAGACAGATGATCCAACAGCTCAATAGATCTTCGATAAAGCTGACTTACTTATCTTTGATACCTGCGCTGATATTGACATGTAATTATCGCCACTTTTTCATGTCCAGGGTCAGTGGTCACCTCGCCACCATCACCCCCCCGCTTAACCCCTCCCTAAATCCTTACATCTCCGTTAAACTTTTTAAAACAAAGCTGGTCTCATTCTCTTTGGCTTACATAAAAACGACGAATATTGTATGGTTCGATGATTCAGTTGTTTAGAGATATACATCTCTTATTTTTAACACAATTTTCTTCAGTTGCACTCAAATGTAGTCCTAAGCCGATTTAGTTACTTTCATAATGTTTGTCTCACAGTCACTGGCAATGTAGCAGTCTTTATTTCTATTATATATATTGTTGAAAATGATAATCGCATATCACCTAGGTTTTGAACAAATTTCTTTCGGTTCTAGTTTATGATTCCATAATCTTCCCAAAATCCCACTCATTCTTGCATAAATCCAAAAAATGAGCAGTCCAAAATGCACCAAATATAAGTTTAGAAGAGATCCGCCTACTCTGCACAGCAGACCGAGGAGGGAGGGAGAAGGAGGGAGGGAGAATATCAAATAACATGCTTCACCCAGACCCACCAGCCAATCATTACACACTGTGTGACCACGTGACTCGTCGCTACCAATCCTAACTATTACCTAGCACGGATTTCACTACCCCAACTACTAATAGTTAAGTTCTGCAGGATATCAGACATTGTGATTGTTGCATAACTTTTATGTTACGGCATGTCTTTCATCTAGATATTATAAGCATTTGGAAATGATGCTGTTCAGGTCTGTAAGTTATGTTTGAAGGTTTTTAAACCTGAGGTTGTAGAGCATCACTCTTTGTCCGTATTTGTCCGTCTTTGTCCGTCTCTTTGTCGGATTGTCCGTGAGCAGTACTCTTTCTGTGCCGTGTATTTTTTGTGGGAGCAATTAGCAATTATAGCAAACAATTTTATGATCTGGTTTCAGTTTCTGTAATTTCCATTCGAACATACAGAATCAAGTAGAAAATACTCGTAGTGAGAACCAGTGTTAGTTTTTAATTAAGACTGGATGTCCCACATTTATATTGTATAATCTAAAACTGGGACCGCCTAATAAGAGGTCATTATGTCAATTTTACACAGATTTGTATTTAAGTATTTACCATTGACTGTATTCTAGGGAGAAAGTTTGATGACGCACTGGGACAGAATACTTTCATTTGAACTGTACTGTGCTCTCTAACTCCAGGTGATACATCCAACATTGCCTATACATTGTATACATTGTATAGTCACTCTGCTTTTTAGTTCAATTTTATCTTGATCACAAGCGGCGGAAAGGGAACTCTACAACAAATTGAATCTCAACATCCGCGTCAACGTTAAAGACATTCTTCAGTAAAAACTAACCTAGAATCTTAAATAAACAACAGCCTGCTACCAGGTAGCCATAATCCACACCAGCTGCTACCCAACAGAAACACTCTGTAAAGATGATGTCTGGAGGAGAATCAGACTCCGGTTCAGATACTAACTCAGACGATGTCTCCACCGAGGATATCTCCACCACGACCGGGAATTCCTGCAGTGTAACAAGCAGTGGTACTGGTATCAGCAGGTAATCAATTGTTAATGTTAGTTATAAATAACATGTTCACCGATACTAGCCTTTTTCAAGTGGAACTGGGCGTACTTCATTGCAGAGAATTTTGTATCCGTATCCACTATCCATGATTGAAATCCAACCAATACCTACACTCGAACCTAACAACCATTTTACCACCACTTTACCACTTTACCACTTTACCACTATTTACAGGCGACATGAGTTGAGGCGCCGGGACGTCATCGAACAGGAAACGGAACAGTTTGTAGAGGACATGAATAAGGAGCACGCGTACAGCTTCATGGCACGCTGTGTTGCTTGTCCTATCTCCCAGCCTCTTTTCAACAACGAGCTTATGGAACCTAGGTCAGTACTTAACGTTCATATCAGTTTAGATGGTCAAATCGTAATATAATCACGTGCCGTAGAGTAAAAATTGATTTAAAAAAATTTAAACTGAGATGGTGAAATCGTTTAAAGATACATGTCAAATCGGTGGGCCGGTTATAAATTGCTGTAATGTGTTAAAATAGTACACCTCATCTCCCCACCAGAATGCACATTGCACATCTATACATATTATGTCACAGTTTTAATAAATCGAACTATTGGTCAGGGATAAGCGCCTTAACTGTGAGAGTATGGAGCAGGTAGCTTTTAACTGCAAGACCCAGCTGGAGATGAAGTTCCCAGTTCCACCGGGGAAGCCTGGCAGAGATAACCGCTGGAACACTGAGGTCAGTGCATTTCATCTGCTCGATATCGTCATCTCGTGTTTTAATTCGACTGAGGTGAGGCATATGACCGATGACTGTGCTTATAAGATTGAAGGAGACAACTTACCTAGTTAGGTGTTCAATAATGCTAGTGAGTGAAAGCTGCTTGATGGCAAGATCAAGTTAACATTTAATTAAGTTAATGACTTCATCCAACGTTTAAATTTATGGACGATCTTTAAAAAGATCTTGTTTATTAACTCCCATAACCGCTTTAACAAAACCAAACAATGATCACAGCTGTACATCAGAAAGCGGTATGTTACCCCTGACAAGGACTACGACCCGCAGGATTTAGCTATACTCTGGCTCTACTGTCAGGTTTAAAAATAGCGATTAATTCTCTTTCGATTTGTTATCTATCTTGAAGTAGCTAAGACTAAACAACATGTCCCATATAATATAATCTCACACTGCTGTCACATGACCTAGCTCGTTTATCACATGATTTATTCAAACCAATTATTATTTTTCTCCTACAGATCACACCAACGAACGGTGGCGGGACTACAACGGGCAAGACTTCAGACTGGGACATATCTTCTCTTGGTCACGCTTATCGGCTAGTCAACGACAGGTATGACGTCTCATACGATGGACTGTTTACGTGAAGTCAAATATTTAATTTATTTTAATATTGATATGTATATTTGAATAATATTAATAAATGTTGAGTATTCTATATCACCAAATTTGCATCATGTTATAATAATTGAACTTTGGAGGTCGTCTTTAGAATGGTCGTTAGGATATCTGTTAGTATCATAGTGGTACTAATGTTGGATTAATTATAGAAACCTTGGAATTGTTAGCCACTAACTTGACCATCTCACCGCAGTCCTGGTACTAATGTTGGATTAATTATAGAAACCTTGGAATTGTTAGCCACTAACTTGACCATCTCACCGCAGTCCTGGTACTAATGTTGGATTAATTATAGAAACCTTGGAATTGTTAGCCACTAACTTGACCATCTCACCGCAGTCCTGGTACTAATGTTGGATTAATTATAGAAACCTTGGAATTGTTAGCCACTAACTTGACCATCTCAACGCAGTCCTGGTACTAATGTTGGATTAATTATAGAAACCTTGGAATTGTTAGCCACTAACTTGACCATCTCACCGCAGTCCTGGTACTAATGTTGGATTAATTATAGAAACCTTGGAATTGTTAGCCACTAACTTGACCATCTCACCGCAGTCCTGGTACTAATGTTGGATTAATTATAGAAACCTTGGAATTGTTAGCCACTAACTTGACCATCTCACCGCAGTCCTGGTACTAATGTTGGATTAATTATAGAAACCTTGGAATTGTTAGCCACTAACTTGACCATCTCACCGCAGTCCTGGTACTAATGTTGGATTAATTATAGAAACCTTGGAATTGTTAGCCACTAACTTGACCATCTCACCGCAGTCCTGGTACTAATGTTGGATTAATTATAGAAACCTTGGAATTGTTAGCCACTAACTTGACCATCTCACCGCAGTCCTGGTACTAATGTTGGATTAATTATAGAAACCTTGGAATTGTTAGCCACTAACTTGACCATCTCACCGCAGTCCTGGTACTAATGTTGGATTAATTATAGAAACCTTGGAATTGTTAGCCACTAACTTGACCATCTCACCGCAGTCCTGGTACTAATGTTGGATTAATTATAGAAACCTTGGAATTGTTAGCCACTAACTTGACCATCTCACCGCAGTCCTGGTACTAATGTTGGATTAATTATAGAAACCTTGGAATTGTTAGCCACTAACTTGACCATCTCACCGCAGTCCTGGTACTAATGTTGGATTAATTATAGAAACCTTGGAATTGTTAGCCACTAACTTGACCATCTCACCGCAGTCCTGGTACTAATGTTGGATTAATTATAGAAACCTTGGAATTGTTAGCCACTAACTTGACCATCTCAACGCAGTCCTGGTACTAATGTTGGATTAATTATAGAAACCTTGTAATTGTTAGCCACTAACCTTGGAATTGTCAGCCACTAACTTGACCCCCCCCCCCCCCCCCCCCCCCACTTGACCATCTCACCGCAGTCCTGGTGGACGTGTTAACGGTTTCACCTTGGAATCCCTCACCTCAATTACCAAGTCGTTCATAGACAACTTCTGCAAACAAGAACACAAGGACAATAAGATAAAGGATGAGGTGTGCGATGTTGTTTTTAGGGGCATTCAGTTCACAACCGCACCCACTAGGGTAAGAAAAACAACACCTCAGTAGGATTATCTTAGCTCGCTTTGATATTGCAATATTTTCTTGTGATGAAACTTCAGCATTGAATCAGTCATGTGAAGAATGATTACATGAGACATTGATTGCACAATTAACATCATACTATTATTATGGAATGAAGCGCTCCAACTTTTATGCAACTACGAAATCCAAAAGATATAACCCTGCAAGCTGGCAATAAACCCATGATTAGCTGAACATTAAAGTTGATATATTCACAATACTTTGATATGTAAGTAATGTATACACAGTACAAGTAATGTATACACAGTACAATGTATACACAGTACAATATACTTTAAGATATCCATCATATCTCCAGGAGTTGTCAATGGACTATTATCTAGAGCTGCTGCAGAAGCTGCTCCAAGTAGGGACCCAAAGACACAAGCTTATCTACAATCACAGCAGGCTGAACAGTCTTGAGGCTCAGATTGTCCGGCTCAGAGCTGAGATTGATGACAGGTTATTTTAGAGACTCGGCTAGAGTTCACTTTCTAACAATATTTGTCTCAAGTTGCTTCCGCCCTCCAGTTCTTCGGAGTCAAATTTTACATTTGAAATTTATGCATGATATGAACAGCAAGGGTTGTGATACATAAAAGATATTCAGACTCAAAGTCTGCAAATCTGCAGTTTCACAATCCATTACTTATTAATGTTAATAATCAATCCATTTATTTCTCTCAATATCAGGGACAAAGCGATGTTACTAAACCAAAGAAGATCATCAGTAGATTCTTATATGAACGAGGAGGACGCTGATAAGGCTTTAAAAGAAGAAGAGGAGAATCTGCGGTTATTTAAAGAGAGAGTCCAAGCAGGTTAGCTAACCCTGGAACCGACTTTAAGATTTAGTTCTAGATCTATTTCAAATATTAGGAGGTGGGGTATTCTGAATTTTGCTGTAGTGAAATTAGAAATTAATTAGAAATTAGAAATTAATTAGAAATTAGAAATTAATTAGAAATTAATTAGAAATTAGAAATGAATTAGAAATTAGAAATTAGAAAGATCATTACAAATTTACATGTATCAGATCCAGATCAATTTAATGAAAATTATTCAACCAAACAGAAATAAAGAAATGGTTTTAAAATGTGCAGATATAGCCAGTAACTTACAAACCCCCTGTAGGATCAACAGTAACTTACCAACCCCCTGTAGGATCAACAGTAACTTACAAACCCCTGTAGGATCAACAGTAACTTACAAACCCCCTGTAGGATCAACAGTAACTTACCAACCCCCTGTAGGATCAACAGTAACTTACAAACCCCTGTAGGATCAACAGTAACTTACAAACCCCCTGTAGGATCAACAGTAACTTACAACCCCCTGTAGGATCAACAGGGACCACCAAGTACCCTTCACCTCACCACACACCTAAGAGCAGTAGAGCTCACGGCGCCATCAGGTCCCTCAGTGGTACCATGGAGCGACCAACCGCTGCAGCCCTCAGTGACAATCAATTCAGAGTCAAACTCTCAGTAATATTTGATACATATTGTACCTAACGTTTTATTTTTGTTTCCTAGATCAATTCTAAATCTGTTTCAGGGAGAAACTTTTTTATCAATTTTATATGGGTTAAATTACAGATTACATTTTTGAATGTATGTTTTGGTGGTTTCATCGACCTACTTTTTCAGATTTGGCAGGTTGAAGTTTTACAAGGACGGGAACACCACACTTCTAGCGAATTCAACTGCACAGCAAAATGTAGCGGTTCTAATAAAAAGAAAAGGTATAAATTATGAATGTTGCAAAGAATGGTCAGACTGCTAACAAAATACAATGAATAATTCTTCCTATTTAAACGATTATTAATTAAACATAAATCTATAATTCTTCTGAAAAGATTTATTTTTTAATGATATCTCTCAACATTGCTTATAATCACTGAAAATCTACCCGATCTAATCGCAAAACCATAAATCACTTGCTCAGTTCGGATATCAAGCTGTTGGGCAAGGATGGTAAGATTCAATTCGAAAACGAGTATAACTTTACCACAAGGAGACCGGCCCCAGTGCTTTCGGTCAAGCTCAAGAAACTTAAAGATGGACTATATTTTGGCACTCGTAAGTCCCCTATCCTGGATATATCGGTAATTATCGCAAATTAACTGAGGCAATGTTATCGACAAAGTATGGGTTGAAACCACACTCTTATCTTAACATTTGACAATAACCTGAGTGAGAGTCATAACTACAATTCACACAGTCATAGCTAAGTTACCAAACAGATATAGATTACCCTGGCAAATCTTCTGACGTATATAAAATCCAAAAGGGGCATTAAGGGGCAGGCACAGCTTTCCCTGTACGATTGAACCTACCAAATTATGACTTCTGGTACGTTTTAGGAAAACCGATAGCCTCGAAGAGGATCAAACTTAACATAAGACATAAAAGTGGGCAGATGCCCTGGAAAAGGGAGTTGATGAAGGCGGAAACGTTCCACCATGACGACGTTAGCGTGTTACTTGAATATAAATACGAGGTATGGGGCACAATTATAGCACATATTATAGCACATATATCAATTATAGCATATAATATTAACATTTTTCAATTTAGGGCAACTGTTTTGTAAGCACATAATATCAGCTTTCTATGAGAATGTTGCAATCTTTCTAATAAATCAGTTAGAAAGGGTACCATTGAACAGGTGACATTCAGTGAAAAGATAAAGATGCTTGGCTGGTTGACTGTGAGCGCAAAGAGCGGGCACTGGAAAGGGGAGAGGAAAAGTTTCTTTGTTCTTTACAAAGGAACAGGGTAAATACAAATTATGAAAACAAATCCAATATATTATATCTAGAATGGTGTCTACAGTTTCAACTCAAAGTTTGAAAACTGGATAATCCTGCGAATAAACACAGCTTTTTGGCTCTCATCACGTGATCACTTCACAGATTGGAGGATCACGGGTTACAAGAGATCGGGAAGGATGGCAGCGTGATACGGATTATCCACACCCTAACCGACTATGACGTCATGAACTGGACCAATGATAACCAGGGCGAGCGAGAACAGCTGGATGAGTTGTATGGGTTCACACTATTCCAGGAGGGTCAGTTGCTCATTGGTCGTAAAATCTGCTAATGCTTTGTTACAGCTTATAAAAGCTAACCGGCGACGCAGCAAAACATGTTTACTTTTGACTCTCTTAGACAAATACACGAACAATTTTATTGTAGTGTAGGCTATAACTCTGTAAAAGTATGGACAACCAAACAAAACAATTCCTTGTGTTTGAGAAATTTCTGTCTCCAGGAGAAGAGATATATTTCTACGCTCCCACTAACGATGAGAAGGAGAAGTGGGTACGACAGATATTTCTGCTAACCAAACAGACCCACGAGACAGATGATCGGTCCAGATCCTCATCTTGTAAGCTTAACTTTTTTCTTCAACCAAATCCAGATAAAATTTTACGGTAATAGCGTCATTTTGTGTGATGACGTCATGGAGGTTGATGACGGCACGGGAATTGATGACATCATTAGAATAAATAAAGTCAGAAAATCCTGATCACACTTACCCTCAGCAACACAGCCAGAGGGGAGTGACGCATTGGGTGGTTCAGATGGGAGGTGCTTCCCAACTACAGACATTACCGCTGTGCAGGGTAGACATAGTAAATACTTCACAGAAATCACCAACTCTATGATACACCTCAACATGGTGAGTCACTTATTTCTCCCTATTTTCTACTGTCCGATGCAACGCGTTAATGTCTAATGTAACGCTTTATTTTTATTTTGTTTTTTATAGTGAACTTTTCAACTTTTGATAACCGAAAAAGGCCTGACTCATCATGTATTTCTATCCATCAGCGGTCTATAATGATTTGCTGTGTTCCCCAGAAACACTTTACTGATCTTTTTAGGATAATGGACGTAAAAAGTAATACAAATTCATAAATAACCACAAATAGAACGTAGAAGGTACCAGGGATATCTGATAAAAATGAGGGATAGTACTTTTACTCAATGATAGAGGTATAGAGATAAAGGCACATTAGGATATCGAAATATAGTGCTTATGTAATATGTATTTGAGACCGTGGGGTGGAAGTTGAAACAAGTCTGAAAGTTACTGGTAGGGATTAAAATATGAAGTTTATAATTTTAGCAAAACTATACGTACATCAATAAAAAAGCAACATTGAACCACTGTTGACATCACGTGGTGTAAATTAAACACCCCTTCAGGATTTGGAGAGACCGGTAGCTGACGGCCGACTACATAAAGCCCACGAGGCGCTTCTTCTGGAGTATAAAGATAGATACGGTGAGTTAACCAATTATCCTTTATTACCAGGAGCTGTTACTTTCTTCAACTTTTTTAGTACATAATGCATATGAAATATGAACATATTTTGTGAAATGCCAAACTTTTGAACAGCACCTTTCTCCTTGAAATGAACAAGTTTTCTGAGTTTAAAAGTCCAATATAACAGATATCAGCAACGGTTTGTACTACACTACAATGTTGGACTGTTTGACGAGGAAGGTTGAAGATGGTTACTATGTGGACTACCAGCATCTCCTGCAAATCATGGAACAGTCAGTACAAACTAGTGACATAGCCCAAACTATTAACAATACTTAAAACTGTTACCAACATCTCCTGCAAATCATGGAACAGTCAGTACAAACTAGTGACATACTACATAGCCCAAACTATTAACAAAACTTAAAACTGTTATCAAAAAAAGCTTAATTTAGAAGTAAGGATAAATCCAAGTTATTAAATTATCCTTTCAGAATATCGAGGGCTACATTGAGAAAAAGTCAGCATGACATTAAAGAGAAATCAATGGAAAGGTTTTATTTGTTTTAAGAAGATGTTTCGTCGAGCTTAAGGGCAAATTGCCCTGCGAAAAATTGAAAAGCATGAGATATATTTAGGCCACATCTATAATATCGATACTATATATGCCAGACGAAATTGAGTTTTTCATAATCTTCCAGATTGTTTGAATACATTAAACTGAGTATGGAGCTGATCTTTCTGAAATTTCCCTACAATCTCCGGGAGAATCAACTGTTTGGCTACAGTCTACTACTACAACAACTTTCCAAAGTTAGTGGCTTGTAGACTAGCATTTACTGTTTATTTATTAGGTCCTGGAGGAAGATTTCTGTTCAATTGTCTCTAGGATGAAAGATCACGTTATCTCAAATCGAGTTTAATACGTATTTGCTTTGTAACACTAGTAAAATAATGAACAACTATAATTAATAATAATAATTTTTATATATTATTATTAATGTTTATAGTTATTAGCTGGTATACGGAATTATCAGAAATTTTGAACTCTTAACATCACAAAAGTGCGATTCTGAATAAATAATGTTCCTATCCGGATACTACATGAACTATAATTAACTTACATAATAATGGCAATTTCATTCGAAACATCATAGGATTTGAACAAAGAAAACGAAGTAGGGGAACTGGGGATGCTGATGATAAAGGTAATAGAGAAGAGCATGGTTCACGAGTACGAGAAGAACATCGCCCCCAGACACCTTGCAGAAATGGTTGGTTTAATGGATCATATATATATATCATTGTTCGTGTTTATAAAGATAGGGGCTAGTTTAGCTGACGTACAATTGTTAAAGATCCAATTTCCTGGAATGGAAGATGTCATTGACGATTTCGAATTTTACACCCATTTTTGGAGATTGAATCACTGAATTGAACAACATTCAAGCTAAATTGTTACATACCCACTGTTACACTGTTACATACCATTGTTACATACCATTGTTACATACCATTGTTACATACAATTGTTACATACCATTGTTACATACCATTGTTACATACCATTGTTACATACCATTGTTACATACCATTGTTACATACCATTGTTACATACCATTGTTACATACCATTGTTACATACCATTGTTACATACCATTGTTACATACCATTGTTACATACCATTGTTACATACCATTGTTACATACCCACTGTTCATACAGGGGCTCGAGAAGTTCAAGTTTAAAGGACTATCACAGGAAATGCAGTCTAAAGTGCTTTGTAACCTAATGAACATCACCTACAAGTTCCTCATGTTCATTGATAACTTTATCACATTCTTCTGCGGTAATCTTATGAGGTAAGACTTTCGATGGACTATTATAATTAACTACATTTCCATTTCCATTTCTATTAATTAACTACATTTCCATGTTGTCAGATTTCCATTTTTTGAAATTTATCCTAAACGGAAATGTTAACAAACTCACTGATCAGTGAGTACAAAGACATATCAGAAACACAGATACGAGAATTGTGTGAGACCCTCTTTGGTCTATACAGCCATGACCTAGCTGAGCTGGTTGGATACCTACCTGCCTGCGAACAGGTTTGTTTGTCTGTATACCTTAGTCGGTTATATTATAGGGGGGGGGGGGGGGGAATTATGGGTGCTAAAAATATGGACTGTTAATGTTATAAATATGGTTCTTTGGCCCGAGATCAAATATTTTTTCGTTAGATATCCGATTCATCTGAAGTTGCTAATCTGAAATTTAAATTGAAATTGTTCCTAGTTAACCCCTCAAATTGAAAAGATGGGGAATAGTAGACAAATCGGACTTTTTGAACCAGAACTAGCTTCAATTCAGCAAACAATAACGTAAGCATAATTCTGGATGTGAATGAAAGAAATCTAGGTAAACTATAGGTAAAAATATAATATTAATCATAAGCTAAAATGTACTAATCTTTGTATTCTAAATGGGGAAAAAGAAGAAACATTGTCAGTCAGTCGAGAAAATTGTCAGTCAGGCTATATGGCAGCTTTGTAGATGTTGTGACTATGCTAGTAGTGGTCCCAGGCTTGCGACTGGAATTGCGGTGTTAAATCGATTTAATGGTATACCAACGATCCACCTCCCACTTGTTGTTTGGTACTTAGCATTAATAGTGTTAGCTGTAGCCATTTATAGCAAGAATCTTAAAACTAAAGGGGATGACAAGGAAAAGAGGAAGGAAAAAGAATAACGGAACAAACAATTAATTAAAGTATTTATAGGAGCATTAGATATTGTAATTACAAGCTTCAATAATAAATCACTGACTAAAACTTCTAATTTAAATGACACTTGGTACGCTCGCCCATTTTCACTGGTCAGTCTGAACTTCGGTTTAGCACGTTGTACTTGTACACTTATTCACCTAAGTTTCAGAATTTGTTCAGTTTAGCAGAGTTAGTACCCGTGTTTCAATAAATCAAAAGATATTAGGGGAGTTCTTTAATAATGTTATGGTCATCTAGAATACCGAACTTCCTGAAAACGTTATCATATTTCCTCAGACAACGTTTAATGCCTTTAATCAGTCTATCACGGCTATATCCTCTATCAATTAGAATTTTGAATATTTTGTGAATATGGGAGGTAAAGATATCCAATCTAGTGCAAACATTACCATATCTAAGAACTTGACTTGAAAAAACGTTGTAGCCAACCTCGGTTGGGATGTTACTGTGAGGAAATGTAAGGGATACAACATGAAAATTAAAATCATCGGTTTTGTTATACACTGATATTTCTAGTCCTTCTGTGGAAATATTAATATTTAAATCAAGGTAGTTAATGATTTTATTATTGGAACCAGCTCGCTCCATCTCCAATGAATTAGGATAAATATCTTTAATCAATTGATGAAAGTAAAGGTAGTTAATAATAGATAAATCGTCAACATATCGTTTATTATTGGATAATATCTTTGCTAATCCCATTTTCTTTTCCTGAAGTAAACGTTTCATATAATTAAATTCCTTTTTGCCAACAGTGAGATCAGCTATAGGGGAACTTGAATTTCCACCCATAGGAATACCCTTGGTTTGTATGAATACAATCCCACCGAAGACGACATAAGTGTTATAAATAATAAATTTAACAGCCTCTTTTAGGTCATCTTGACTAAAGCAGGCATGAGAATCATAGGTTTTATTGGAAAAGAAACATGTATTACTGTCTCTTTTAGAAATACAAATATATCTATTACGGTCTGAAAATATTAAATCAACAACTTCATTAATCATATTCTCTACTTCAATCAAGTCTAATCTGGTATAAAGAGTAGTAAAATCATATACTTGTATATTATAAACATCGCTATTTTTGATAGCTTCAAGGAATTCACTTGAGGAATCTATGCTCCAAAACATGTTTATACCGCTGTTGTTGTAGATTGCCTCGCAGTATTTCTTAAAGTATTTCCTCAAAAGTTTCAGACAACAGTTAACTTGGACGTTAAGTTGTTTCGTAACGCAAAAACGGGCACCTGCAATGAACCTCGCCTTGTAAGGGTTCTTATGAAGCTTAGGGTTCCAGAAGATGCGTGCTAGTCGCAAGTTTTTATCTTCAACTTGTACATTAAACGCATATTATGACTGATTTACCAAAAGGAACACCAAAATTTGACTCGGGGGGTTAAATTATGGGGGGTCAAAATATGGACTGTTATAAATATGGTTCTTTGGCCCGAAAAGGACCAAATTAGACCCCCCATAATATTACCGACTAAGGTAGATTTGGTGTGTGTCAGTGTGTGTTTTTGTGTCATTTTGTTTCTGTTCATCTTTCTGTTAGTCTGTTTGCCTTTCTGTACAGTCTGTTTGCCTTTCTGTACAGTCAGTCGGTAAGTTGTAAGTCCTTCAGTCCCTGAGTCCCTCAGTCCCTCTGTTTGTTTGTCAGTTAAACTGCAGAGCATGACACGACTCATGCAGGGTGTCCCTCCACTACTACAGGTGTTTGATCTCTACGGTATCCTCAACAAGTTCTGCACTAATGTTCCCTACTTAGATTTTGGAGTTTTCCACAAAGAAAGTCTCCACAAGGCTTTCCTGGTGAGTTATCTATTTGTTCTTTTTGCTTCAAGGTTGAAATAGATTATGTAATAAACAAAAGGCCAAAAAGTTGTTACATGATACACCAGTGAAAGCAGTATTAATGACATTCTCACTTTTCAGAACTAAGTTCCTAATATAATTAAGATAGAACATATAAACAGTTTTATTCCTGTTCCATATGATCGAGGATAGTCAGGGCCACAAAACCTGACCAAGTTTAGCTCAATCCAGTACTGCGCGTTCGAGATATGAGGTTAAATATACCAAAAATAGAGGTTTTCTGGTGTGACATCATTGTAAATTATTTGGAGTATAATCTCAATATCTCACAAACTATACATTTGTGGTCTTTCTGAGTTACACTATCTGTTTCCTCTGGCAATTTCGGTTCAGAGTCAATTAAGTTTGAAACAAAATCTCAGTATATGTGAAAGAACTGAGGATATCAAGTTTGTAAAAGCGCGCGCGCGCGCGCGCGCGCACACACATATAATGACCTCATATCTTCCACATTTAATGATTTTTTATAGAAATTCTTTCACCATCCTGTAGCACGCATGTGCTGAGTAGGATAGCATTCAAATCATGTCTTTAAAAGCTTTAGATAGATACTGAGGGAGAAAATTCATGTTTGTAAAAGCGCGCGCGCGCGCGCGCGCGCATGGCCCAGACTATATCAATGGACGGCCACGGGAGTATAAAAGTACTTTCATACACACCAGCATGCTTATTGATGGCTTAAAATGAAGCTAAGACATACTCCTATCAGATCCACCATAAGTTAGATACCATAATAATCATTAAATGTGTCTAAAATGAGGAAGCTTTGACAAGTGCGAGTGGTTTTGGCAAATTTTGGTATAAAATGGGCCCTGAGATCATATTTTTCTCATTAAAATCACATATATCACGAATATTTATGTGTGTTGGGTGTATCCTCATTGGTATCAACCATTTCAATCATCTAGAGCAGCTTTCCTGATTCTTTATTTCATGAAAATGGGCAAAAAAGCTCATAAATAGTCCAAAATCGGTCATTTTCGCCGCTTTAATAACCTCATTCCTGGCACCCAGAACACTTTGGGTACTCAAAACATGATTTTTCGGATACCTCAGACCCCTAACTAGCACATGGAGCCAGAAAGAACAACATGTAGGGACTTCTAAATTTCCATGGTTGAGAACCCAATGTCACACTATTCGTTCATTAATCCTGCTTTCACTGACACGAATGATCCTTTGCCGACTGCCGTATGCGTTATTATGTACCTTAACTACTAAATTTAATCACATTCCACATTTCCACAAAATTTCGTCGCGGATATTTTTTACCGCGAAAAAGTTTCGATACGGAACGTTTCGTCCAAGTTCGGATTTTGACGAAAATATTCGCGCTGAAAATGTTCGTAGTTTTGAGATATAATATATACACAGATTAGCTTAATCTAACAGTAACGCGCGCATTGTTGCAGGTGCATGTGCTGACACACATAGAACAAGAAGCTAACCAGATAATGGCCCAAACAGACGAGTACCTCTACAAGGAGACCTGGGTTATCTCCGAACAAAAACAAAACAGGTGAGCGTACAGAACAACGGAAACATGTAATGACACTGTAAGATAATTAATCATTGGGGATACACGTTATACGTCCCCGTGAATATTGATTCGAGCGTATTCTGTGCCACCCAATCTAAACTGATGGAAGCAAGCATAAATTTAGTTCTGCAAATCGTTATGACAACTCTATATTTGCTCCATATTACAGCAATGACGACTACCAGTGTAAAAGTGTGCGGTTACTCAATCAACAGCTGTCTTCTTTCAAGGCTTACATCGACAATCTACAATGGCCCAATCCAGATTTTAGGTTTACTATGAGAATTGAATTTAACAGTAAGACTCCTCAATTTCCGTGGATTTCTCATTTATGTTAATTAAATACGTTAATACAACCAATATCTTTTTTAATTATTTATTAAAAATTTACATATTTTCCATTTCTCAGGACAATGTTTGCAGAGATGGCGGAGGAAAAGACAGTTCAGATAAAACTGAAATATGGGAACTTCATTCGAGAACAAATTACTATCCAAGTCAAAAGAGACAGGTAAGGAACACTGGTACAATTGTTCAATGGAATTTATTCAATTTTGTTTGATATCATTGATTTATGTATGCAGCGGCAGCCCCAAACACATCCGAGAAAACCCAAATAAATTTGTTTGAATTCCTGATATATATATTATTTGTAACGAATTTAAGGATTTAAACGTACACTCCAAAGCTAAAGACCAGAGCTTTGTTAGAAAGCCTAAGGCTCATGTAAATGCACGCTGTTTGAGCCTGATACAGCACCGAGCACAGATATGATGATGATGATGATACTCATGACAAACAATAGAAGAATAGAGTAAGGATGATATCACCTGTAATTACCAATATTGGAGCAAGTAAACAGATAAACAGTGAGGTGGTATTGATGAGGTTTAGAAGAGCTGACAACAATAACCTTGGTTCAGCACCCAGCACAATGGAAGTTCCACCAATCAACAAGAAGCTCAAAATCACGTGACTTAACCGGATCAAGTGACGTTACACGTGTTTCTTTACTTCACTCTACTAGGTTCACGACCTGTGAACACAACGTCAATGTTGACATGGCAACGTCAATATTGTCATGGCGACCTGCTCAGAACTATGAATAAAAACATTGAATTTGAGTATGACGCAAGCTGCGTCACACGTGGTCAGGCTGTTTGTTTATAAGAGGGATCTGAGACGACCAAACAAACAGTTATTGATATCTCTCAGCAGTTAATTTCGTTTATCAGTCAAGTGAAAACTTTGTTAAAATCATTATTTTGCATCTGGACTCATCATGAATTCTACGGTGCTTTACGGAGTTGTAGTTATCTTCTTGTTTACGGGTAAATTAGGATATTTTGAACTGTCAACATAGAATTTGAATTCCAGGCTTGTCAATTCTCGTTCGTTAGTCAATCAGTCCTTTTCTATGTCTCAGTTAAGTCTTTTAAGTGGATAGCCACAACGAACCCAAACTGACCCAGAAGCAGTGAAGCTCACCCTCCCTACTCTAATATCCTCCCCAGGTTTGTCAGCAATGCCAGCGGCAGAGGGGGAGGATGAGACGGAGGATGAGACTGGTACTTTCTTAGTGCCCGACTCGGCTGCAATGTCATCAATCCAATACTCAGAACCATACTTCGCCTATGATAACAACCCCAATACCTTCGTTCACTCACTGGATAACGCACCAGTAGGCGATCCTCAATGGCTGGACGTGTTCTACAACAGGATGGTCACAGTTTCCAGAGTGGACCTAGTCCTCCAGCGGTGGGAATCCTGGTGCAAAGAGAATCTTGTACCCTGCGCGGGCAACCTGGACACGACTCAGGGGACTGCAAGTCAGTGTTGGGTATCAGCATGATCCGGACTCTTTGAAGGACTGCGGAGAAGCTGTTCCCGAATATCCCGCACCAAATCTTGTGGCGGATGTGGTGCCAGATCCTATTGTAAAGTCTGTGCTCTGTCGGAGGAGATGGTGGGAGATAGGATTAGGTTTCTACAGACCAGGGAAGGAGAGAAGGTCATGATATCAGAGGTACAGGTCTATGGGGAATATCATAGTTCCGATGATCACGAAGAAGGAGAGACGATGACTTTAGGTACGAGTTTATCGAAAAACAATAGTTGCAAAGAAATTTAAGTAGCTGCGGCAAGCATGACTAAAAAATTTGGGCTGGTAGCGTACCGCAATAAAAACTTTAATGCCCTTGGGTAGCAGAGGCACATATTAGGTGCGATGGGTGCGGGATCGCACAATTTACCGTTTTCCGCACATTTCCGCATAATTTATTGTTTTCCGCACACTTCCGCACATTTTGTAATTTTCTGCATATTTCCGCATAATCTAGCATTTTCCGCGTAATTTCGCGTAATTTTGAAATTTTCGCGTTAAGATTTTCGAGTGTAAAAACCAAAATATGTTAAAAGTCGGGCCCTTTTTGGACCGTGACTCAGGCCCTTTCGGGACCGTGACCCAGGCCCTTTTGGAACTCATACCTAGGCCACGTGACCCAGTTACCACGTGACCCAGGCCCTTTCGGGACCCTGACCCAGGCCCTTTCGGGACCGTGACCCAGGCCCTTTTGGAACTCATGCCTGGGCCACGTGACCCGGTTACCACGTGACCCAGGCCCTTTCGGGACCGTGACCCAGGCCCTTTCGGGACCGTGACCCAAACCGTTATGCAACCCTCGTCGTTACCGTACTTCGATCATACCTGCAGCCCTTTTTATCGGGTAATGAGCTCTATTCGTTGTAGCGTTGGCTTTATAGTGGGCTTAATGGATCTTGGATCAAATGGTTTACAAGTACTGACGATCAATGCCAACAAGCGTGTCACATATTTGCGATCACGCATGGGATCTAATCGACTCTATCAAGAGGCGTCTTCAAATAACTGTCTCCTGATCTCTACCAGATCAAGTCACTGTTCTCAGATAACTAAATCTCAATATAGGTTCAATCATGGTCTTAGTAAAGAACTACACCCTCAGTAACACATAAACAGACCTATTTTTGATAAGAGCGGCGGTTATACGTTTAGAATTTCCAAAGTCCTTCAGAAAATGCAAAAGAAAACCGCACAATTCCCGCACAAATTTCAAAAAATTGTCGCACATTTGCCGCATAATTGGTAAAAATTTACCGCACCTTACCGCACATTTTACCTTTATAGTCGGGTGCGGTACCGCATAATTTCGATTTTTTTACCGCACCTAATATGTGCCTCTGTTGGGTAGCTGGGAGTGAAATATAAATATATATCTACAATCTACATATATAAACTTAAAACATAAAATTATATTAACAATTCAATTAACTAAGATATCTCGACCTGCAGACTTTAAAGGCGTAACCAACAATATTCAGCATAGAACGTAGATCAACGATGGTTTGTATTAATCTAGCTAATAAAAGATTGTGTGAATGTAAGGTAAAATTTAAAAAATTTTTTGGGTTTTCTCGGATGGTCAACTGAATATAATCCAATTACAATATTAAACTTTGATATTTTTGCTTTACAAATTATAATCCCCCTCATCTTCCTCGCAGAGGTATCTCAGAATTGAGTCTGATAATGTTTAACAGTCTTCTAGCACTTTACAGCTCAGTGCCTGCCAATTTGGATCCAGCTGAGGACCTTGATACTGTCGTTCAGGGAACATTAGAGGTTTGTTACGTTTATTTTTCAGTTTTCTACTCAACTGTCACTCAGGTCTCAGCCACAAGTATACGTAGTTTGTATTAAAGTAAGGGTTAACACTTTACACCCCTAAACTAAAATGTGCATCCGTTTTGAAATGTTTTGTAAAAACTGATGGCGTGCATACGAGTAAACCAAGAATTGTTATTCTCCAGTTTCGAAATTTGGCTTATGGTTTCGTAATATTCTTCGTTATCTCCTAATTCGCAATTTAGTTACTCATACTTATAACACAATTACTTCAGGTATTAGCAAGTTCCCTAGTAAAATACCTCAAGAAGATCTTATCAGACTGGAGCGGACCATTCTTACTTGCAGCGGTGAACTGTCATTTGTTGGGAATAAAAAACAAGTTGTTCCGAGTCAAGGAGTTCATCATCATTATAAGTGAGTTAACAGAAACGTTATTCAGTTGCAGACTGAGTGCTCATTATAAGTGTGTTAAATCAATGCCAAGCACTATAATTCCTGAAAAGACCCTTGAACAGACGTTAATAGTAAAGCCGTTGGTGCCGGCTTGTTATTGACAATGGGGTGAGGCCCGAATAGAAAATAATCTTGCGACAATAGTTAAATATCTCTCCTAACGATTAAATCTCCAACAGGGGGGAAAGCCAACTGGGTCATTAAATCCATTCACCCAGTTTTCTCAGACACGTATCTTAACGAAACTTACAAAACCCTGTTGTCTCACATACTACTCTGGCTCGAGGAGGTCAATGAGAACAAACGGTAAGAGTTAAATAATTACACCACTTTTAACTGTCAGTTAGAGTCAAATAATTGGACACCTTGTCGTAAGCGTTTAATGGCCTTAAGGCGACTCCCTCGTGCTTGAATATCCACATAAGTCGACCGAAGGAAGGTCGCAGACCTGCTTGGAAGGTCTAAACTCCATACCATACACATTAACAATATTTGCCACACTTGTATGCAATGACACTGCTGTCCAGATGTTATCCGGCCCTGGTGTACGTCACACGAGAGTTGGTGGACAAGCTCCGGGACATCTTCACTACCTCCCAGCATCACATCGTGGCCCAAGCTCCACCAAACATCCAGGCTTACACCAACATTGAGAATATACTTAACACTAAGGATATGGAGCTCATTATGCAAAACAGTAAGTCTGATATAGGAGGGTTAAGTTCGCTAACTTTAACTGCGATTATATTACATGTCACAATCAGTTGTAAAAGTAATGATGAAAATATCAACTAGTTTCTGTTGCAGAAGACCAGCTCCAAGACGACATTCGGAGTATGCTGACAGAGTAAACCTAAGCCTAGCAACCCTACTCAATACGAATCACTAGATCAAGGAATTGTGGAGACTAAAACGAAATATGGATGACAAACACATTTGGCAATCCTTCCCGAAACAACTTCAAGCTGGATAACCTTGGGTGAACACTCTACTGTATAGGTGAACATTATTTGTGTAACTAATTTTATAGTGGGATTTTCAATGTTTTTGAAACCAATTTCGCCAAATTTTTCTTGATGTGAAGTTAAGTTTTCTGTATTGATTGAGTATGATCAGATTGATGAATTAATGTTTTATATGTTCAGCAAGTTTGAAGCGATTTTAAGATTTTAAATATATTTTTGTACAATTTCACGATTTTCAGACTCGTTTATTAACAGTAAATATTTGTTTTTAATTGTTAGAACCGGACATTCATTCAGAGATCACTTAATAATTAAAGAGCAAACCTGTTCTTGTGTCTCCTGAATCTCTTTTGCGAGTTGTTCAGAGAAGCTGACCTCCATATTAGTTATTCTAACATTCATCTCTTCCTCTACTTTTACAATCTGTGAGCAGTTTTGGTTGTATTAGGTTAAAGGAGCTTTTTATCAATTCGATTACAAAACGATGATCGATAACAGTTTTTGTGAGTTGGAGTATATATACGCCGCCTGAAGGTGGATCATTTTACATTCAGAGAGTAGGGAATATTTATGCTGCCTTCGAACAGTGGGGTAACGTTGCAAGACTTTCAAATTTCCAAATTGGAAATTCCGATGTCTATAATTCTTGTCTTCTAGAATTCTAACCTGCGAAGAGGCAGAATCTTGAAGCCCACCGACAGTGTCTGACAGTGACTTAATTTCCTCGCGGGCAGAGCGGTCGAATTCCTCAATCTTCGACAACATTTCGTCTTTTACCTGCAGAAATAATTTTATGAGGCGGGAGGCTGTAATCTGTATTAGAGTTTACTCTCAAGTTTGGGGCAAACTAAAAGCCTTTTTATTTATGCAACTACATCTTCGATAGTTTTTTGAAATTTTGAAAATCTTCCAGAATCAAGAACAAGCAATCGAAACGAAACCTGCACATGTCAAGCACATGGCGACGATTGATGCGCGGCTCGCGCGCGGGGACAAGATGTTACAGAAATGACCAACAATAAAGTGTTTTATCATTAAAATGCAATTCAAATTTCGCGCCAATTTTCGCCAATATAATGATTCCTAAAAATGGAAATATTTTCTGAATTTCTGATTTCACCAAAATAGCCTGGAAACTGTTTTATCGTGTTTTTATCAGTTCTAATCAATTGTAAAGATGTTTAAAACCTATAGAAAATTTTCCAAAACATCGACATTTCAAAACTTTACCAGCAGGCTCAAAATGTGTCGAAAAATTCTTGCCATTGCATTTTTATAGTAACATTTTCTTTCCTCTGAAACTTAATCTTTAGACCTGACCGAAAACTTACTCGTTTAGCGTCTTCTTCCCTTCTGTCATCCAAAGCTCCTAAAGCTGAACGTACTGTGTTCAAGTGTTCCTCCAGCTCCTTGAACTTACTGACTCTAAGGATTGAAAGATGAATATCTATGAGCTGAAATGCTATTCTTTTACAAAATAATCAATAGCTACGATGATAGTCAATTCTTTCACAATCTCACAACGAGATGTTATTTCTTAACTTCGTAAACCTATCACCTAATGCTACAGTTTAAGGACTGACCTGGTTTTTATTTCAGCCTGTAAAATGTGCTCAATGCCGTGTTTTGTTGCATCTCCCGACTGTTCGATCAGTTTAATACTCTTGTACAGTTGTTTTATACTCGCGTCAACTTTTTCTTTATTCTCTTCATATACTAAAATAGCTCCAGTTTAGTTCGAATTTTCATTAAACCATCAAGTAGGCCGGACAGATTTAATTAATTATGATGACATCAAGGCTTACTCTAGCACTTATACCCTTATTAAACTGAACTTGAAGCGTATACAGTGTATATAAAGTATAGAACTGTACGCACTCGTGAAGGCAAATAAATCTAAACCTGAAATATATTGGCCCATTTGGTCGCGCAAGTTTTGGCGCAAGTTGTTGAGAACGTTGGCAGTGTCACGTCGTAACTTCTGCTCCCAATCCAGTCGAGAACTCTTCTCTTTTACAATACTCTGACGGTTCGATAGATATGAGTTTTGAAGCACGATTCGAATGCTTGAAATTAATCTATCACACGCAGAGTTTATTCAGTTGACTCGTTATCTTGCATGCATATTTTTACTGACCTTTTAGTTTTTGCGGAACTTTCAATGCGCAATGCAAACTATCAAAATTCGACGGAAAAATCAACAAATGTTAACCCACCGACTGTAGGGCTGTTATTAGTATCTTTGTGTCGTGGAATGAGAGGGCAATCTCGTCAGCTATTTTAGTATCTACATTCCGGTAGCACTGCGTTAACTCTTCCAGGGACTGGGAGGAAAGGAAATGTAAGTTAGTACAGTGAAACCCGATTTACTGCAGAGTTTGGGGAAAGGAAACATCCGCGGTAAATTGGGGTTCGCGGTAAATCGGTGTTTTGTTTTTTTACATTATGCATGTTAATTGTTAAGCCTTATTTGGGGGGAAAGAGATGGCCGCGGTAAATCGGGGTTTTACTGTAAATGGATGGTATAACTATACTTTGTTTAAAAGATCGAAAAACTATTTATCGTATAAATTAAGAAATAAGAACATATTTCGATGTTGTGATTTCATAATGAAAGAAAAACGAAATGAACAATGATTGAATAGGAGTCTTATATCACTTTAATGATAGTTGGCAGTTCATTTTTTGGTTTTTGTTTATTTTATACAAACTAATCAACGACAATTCAGTACTATCAATAAAAAACCTGCGTTATTTCTCTGTCTTTCTGTTCTCTTCCAAGCTCGATTTCCTGCCGACTTTTCTGTATCTTTCCATCCAAACCTTGTTTCATTTGACTCAATTTTAATGAGCTGAAATATTGACAAAGTTATATAACTTCTGCTTTACAGAAATATCCACAACTTATTCATAATGTTGCCACTCTTAGAATAATCTGTTGGTTTTAATATTGATTTATTGAAATAAAACAACAGAAAGGTCGAAAGGACAAAATTCACCTGTTATTAATAAGGTCGTAAAGCTGGGCCCGGTCTGTCTTAGCCTCAGTCGCACAATTAGCGATATCTTGTAAAGATCCAGCAACTTCTTGGTCTCGTTCACTGGTCACTGACTCTACACTGGAGATCTTGTTTTGTAGCCGTGTTGTGGCACTTTGCAGTGATTTAATGCATTCCATCTGTTTTTTTTATGGTTTAAGAAGATAGAGAAGTCTTTTAGTTGCATAAAGTATAAAATCTAGAGAAGTATATTTATAAATATATACTTTATAAAGTATGAGAAGTATTTCAGATAAATGTAAGATATTTGCACGGGGACGTTACAAAATTAAATCTCCAAATATCTGAAAAAGTAACTAACGGCAGCGTTTGTGTTGGTTTCCAGTGTAGTGACTCGAGTACCGTTGTTCTGCTCCGTTTGATGCAGAGCTGATAGGTACTCCTGAGAGGTGAGATGTTTTATTGAACTACTGATATTCAACAGGTATCAGTCAATAACCTGATCAGATGCAATCAACACCGTTTGAAAAATTATAATGTTTATCAATAACTGAACATTCAGACAGATTTATAGACAGGCCTTGAGGCCTAGCAACATGGTAAACAAATGGTGCGGCCAAGGATTGGCCGCACCATTTGTTTACCATGTTGTCCTGAGGTTGACTATACTATTTTTGCCAACTTTTTTCTCAGTAATATTTGTTTTTATCAGCTGCAATATCAAAACTCTCTCTTTTTTATATTCGCGACCAGCTGTAATCACAGTCCATTATTATAGCAGAGCAGCTGTAATACGTGTGAGCACAGACTAAAGATGCCCGTACTTCAATGTGCACCAATAACGGAATACAGCAGTGAACAGGATTTCAGTAACTATAGTAACGGTTATTTTAACAGGTGGGGAATAATACAGCTGACAGGGATATTTACTATTTACATGTGGTGGCTGTGGACTAAAGATTCACAACTACACTCGGTTATAAAATACTTTAGCAAAATAACAGCTTATAAATGCTGAAAGTCGGCACTATCACAATATATGCTACCTTAAAACTCTGCACAGACTTATAGATGACGACACAAAAACAGACGTTTTAATCCTAATTCATTCATTCATGCGTAGATGTAAAATTGAACAAAGACAAATAAAATTAAACGCTCAAGATAAACATTGCATGAAATATATATTGTGAAATTTAATAAGATATATTTAACAGACCTGTACATTCAACAAGGTACTGTGGGTATCATTTGAAAGTTTCTTAATTTGTTCTGTTTCTTCCCTTGTTGAGGTACTGAGCTGTTTGAACTTATCTTTGATTTTGTCAACATCTGAAACGGAAAAGCATTACACTATAAAGAAATAAGAGGGTAAAGGTACTGTAGTGCGACACGTACTGTAGTGCGACACGTACTGTAGTGCGACACGTACTGTAGTGCGACATGTACTGTAGTGCGACACGTACTGTAGTGCGACACGTACTGTAGTGCGACACGTACTGTAGTGCGAAACCTGAAGTTCGACAAGAACCCCCTCTTTCGCACTTGAGTTTGTGTCGCACTACAGCCCAGGTAGCGTACTGTAGTGCGACTGATCCCCATCATGAATTACAATAACGATTAGTCTACACCAGTACACATTACTAGCAACTAATCACACGTAACATGAGGACTACAGAGTTGTTACCATGGTAACACACACGATGTATACATTATGTACTGTTTTATGTAGAGCTGCAGAGCAGAGGTGCAGTAACAGATCATAGTTGCGGCAAATTTGCTGGTAGCTGGTAACAACTAGTCAGAATAGAATCAATAATAATTTTTCATTATTATTATTCAACGTTATTACAAATCAAAATATACATTATACAGATAACAAACATTGCTTAACAAAAAAACACAAAATCAGCATGAAAAGTAACAACTTGCCAGCAATTTTCTCTAACTTTGTTTGTTTTCTTGTTTCAATTTGTTGTTGCAAAAGAGAACTCTGTAGGATACTGTTAACAACTTTACTGGAGTCGGCCTGCTCTTCTTCAAGCTAGGTGAAAGCATGTTTTTGTTGCTAAAAAAGAGACTCTAGAAATGTGGGAGTAATTAAAGGCTAGTAGCAGTTCAGGGTGAAAAGATCAGCAGATATAAACAACATTACAAACAACAATTAGTTAAAATCCTCAATTTTACACACTCTTCTTCACAGCTACTCCATTAACCTAACCTGATTTAAACGTGTGTACAGTTTATTGATTATCTCATTCTGAATACTGAGTTGTTCGCGCATACGTAGACGTTCACGTCGTTCTTCTTGTATATCTCTGGACGCAAAATCAAGCTGATCCTAAAATATTGTCTTTCAGAAATTAATGATAAAATATAAAATAGATTACATGAAGAGAGAATGATGGTATCTAGACCAGTGAAGATTTAGCTGTGTCGGGAAGCTATGATCATCTATTTTTTGTTAATTGCAGTAAAGTAGCTCACCAAGATTTAGTTTTAACTTGGTGAAAACGAAGCAATATAAATCTATTTTATTGCTACAAAATAAAAATTAACCTTCAGCTGATCAATCCGATTGCTTTGAGGATTCGGCCGATGTTCAAGTGCAGGTAACATCATGAGACATTTGACAACCTTTGAGTCACAACCTATAGATAAGGAGAATGTTATGAAATCACAGTAAAACCCAGCTTGTTAATGGGAATATAGTAATGTACAAAAAGTTGCAGTGAAATGTATTGTGGGGAGAATCACTCCGGGGGAACTAAGTGTTAACCATTTTGGTCATCCTTAGTTAGTCAGATTTTGGAATCAGCCCTCCGGCTTAAAAAGTCAGTTGAAGTCCATCAGGATTTCAGCTGGTTTAGGGTCTAGTAGAATATAATCCGAGAGTAAACCTGCAGTAGCTCCCCTACCAGCACGCCAACCAGCCCACAACCAGTGGCATAACAAATGGTCCCTCTGATTATGATGCAGTGGAGGAGGGGGCCTTTTTCCCCAAAATGCAGATATTTTAACCGTGGTTGCTGCAAAATATATTTGGGGATGTGAAATTCTACCAGGGAGGGCTAAAAACCCAACCTTTTTTAGGGCATAAGAACATTTTTGTGGGGGGCACCAATTGGTTATTTTATGCCACATCCCCGCAAGGACTATAATGTTCATAAATCTTGTAATAAACTGTGTTTATTGAATGAAACACAGTAACAATCTATAGCAATCTGAAGTAAAAGTATCATCATACAATAGACGATTATATGTTGTATAAATATGGAATATAACAAACTGTATGTTTATAAGCCATACAATATTATTATACTCGAATCAGCGAAATCTTATCACTGACACTAGTTAAATACCACTAAATCAACTTATGACAGTTGAAAAACTTCTAAAATGTTGGTTAAAAATGCTCCTGTGAACACTCTGCTCACAATTCAAAAATATATTTGGAGAAGTGAAGCTGTGGCATGAATTTAACACATCATTTTAATTTTGAATCGTTGGTACATCCTAAAAACTTAAAAAGAAAAAATTACTATTCTAAAATAATTCAACTGTCGGGGCCCCTTTTAGAAAAATCTCGAAGATTGAGTGTAGAGTGATTAAGCACACTCGCCAGTTTAACGTAATTTTGACGGGTTCAGGACTCTGGAGTCTAGGGCGTGAGACTCTAGGGCAGCTTCTTGAAACAAGACTTGTGGACATTTTCACATCTCCACGTGCAGAAGTTCTACCTTTCAGGACAGTGCCCTACAGTCCCACACCCTAGACTTAGAGTCTCATAACTTAGGGTGCGGACCACAGAGTCGATGTTTCTGAGTAACTGTTTACCTTCCATTGAACAAAGAAATTATCGAGTACACCTCATGTCTAAACTCGAGTCAGCTATTTGATGCGGGGGCAAATAGGCACAATGCCAACTGGCTAATTGATGTTGAATCGAAAGTTTTTCTTAGTGAATTTAGCCCGTGCGGCACTTCTACTCGATGTGTTACGTTGATAAAATTTAAGTCTACTTATAAATTGCACATTTGTCATTTATTTCTTAACTTTCCCCTTTCGAACTTTGTGACGTTCATATTTACACACCTTGATAAGTCAAAAGTATTTATACCCACTATCCAAGATATATTACTTCGAACTTACTTCACCTCCACATTCTTTATGACAATTCCGAAATAATCCCTTATTTACAGTGCTTTAATTTAGTAACCAGTTCATGCGACCGATCCTGATCCTGATTTCCGAGGCATCACATATTCTCAAACGTCTAAACTTTTAACCTTTCAAATTTTGCACCGATAAACAATTTTATGGCCGAATTTTAGCCGATTGTAAATTTTATCATTCTTTCAAAAGACATTTCCTGATTTTGTTTTTCCTTTTATAAAGAAAAAACAGGAGCAGAAGGCCAACTTGCGTATCTATTTCTCAAAACTAAGGTTTGTGATAGTACCCTACACTTGACTCTTTTGTCTACTTTTCTTCAAAGAAAGGTTCAGAACTTTGCGGGATTCATTGCTGCTTATTAATATTATGATTTATGCCGTAGTTTATTTCTTTTCGACAGACCCATTCTGTATTTTCTACATTGATGGTTTTGGTAGACACGTCCGTGATCCGTCCTACAATTCATTCTTTCAGATTCATTTATATGTGAGCAGTCAGTACAGAAATGACTTCCTTAATGTTAGCCTTTGTATACGATTTATATTATTTAGTATAATTAGTGTTCCACAATTAAGTTCACGGCAACTTCACAAAAGTAAAAACTGAACAATTTAAAAGCGCAAACACTTTAACACTAATCTGTGTTAAATTTGGTTAACGTAGAGCCTTTAAAAGAGCTGAAATAATCTGTTGACTGTCGTTACACATTGAATTTATCGCATGATTATAACTCTTTCCTCGATTGTCCACGTGACTATTATAACACGAATTTCAGTTTAATCTACGAATTTAAGCATCATCAAATTTTCTTATTTTATTCTAGAGGAATGAAATTTACGAGGACCATTAAGGGGCCCGAGAGGTCTTCATCAAAATTCGTTCGAAATTGATTTTATAGTTGTTTCTGATAGAGGGGAGTGATATCTATCAGCTGCTTTTGGTCCCATGGAAAAATATTGTTCCTGGCGGAAATATCGCTGGTCAAAGGTCAGCGCTTATGTGTAAATGTAATGCGTGAGCGACTTTCAATCACGCGTCCTGAAAATCGAGTCTAAAAATCTATCGTCTCCTACATTTTTTGAGCAATCACTCTCAAACTTTCAGGATATTTTCTAGGTACCATTTAGAAAAGATCGCTCAGACCAAAAGCAGCTGGTAGATATCACTCCCCTCTATTAGAAACAACTATAAAGTCATTTTCGAGAGAATTCTTATGAAGTATAATGAATGAATGAATAAGACGTGGTAGCCTGTGAGCGTGTAGACCGCTCCTCTATTGTTGTTTTCAGTGTCCGATCCAAAACCAAATCCTGGGGTTACACAAGACGTGGGAACCTGTGAGCGTGTTTGTTTCCTGCGGGAGGTGTTATTTGCCTGTGGGAAGAGTGGTTATGCTCCGGTTCTAATATTAGCTGTAGAGGCTATTATAGCATTTCCTTTGTTGTAGAGATGGCTAGTCCCTTCCTTTGCATAGGTTAGAAACACCCATGCACCTCCCGTTCGAGCCACCCACCCCACACCGCGTGGAGGTTCGGTGAGGTTTTTGAGGGGCGGATCCCAGTTTTATTCATGGCCTTGTGACACTAGGCTCAGTAATGTAACGATCTGGAAACATTTAGGATTTACGTTCTGTATCATTTATTAATTGAAAAAGTAGTGCTCTTCTCTAAAAGCTATGACGATTATACATGAAAGCCACAGGATGATCACAGAGCTGGCTAGCAAAAAAAATTCCGTGTAAAAACTTAGCAGCTCTGTTATACGAAATTCGGTAAAACACCCTAAAAATCGCAATATTCAGTTTCCCTAAAACTTGAGTAACAAATTTGAGATTTTACACGGCCTCTAGAAGTAGACGTTGTTTTAAAATAGGGGGTTTTGATGCTTTGGGACTTTTGTTAACAAATAGATTTTCTAATAGTTAAGGATTTAGGATACCCTGTCGACCCTAATTTGGACCGACCAACTCTGACTGGTATTTAGCAGGCCCTAAATATGGGCAAAGTCGTCGGACAAAAGGTCACGTTACTATTAGTCATTAAGGCTCAATTAAATAGCAATATAAATGAATGAATAAGAGTAGAGTTAACAACACCAGTACTGCTAAAATAGCAAAGAAAGCCTAGTATCATATTTATACCTTTCAAGTATACCATTATCATCCAACTATTTTCATTCGATTTGTTTGACAGTTGAATTTAAATAAAATGGAATCAGATATAAAAAACCTTAGAGTAGTACCATTGCAGAAAACTTACATATTTATTCAAACTAAGGATTGGAAAAACTCAGCAGCCCTAATAAGTTTCGCAGCAGTTAATTTAAGGTTACATTCAAATGTTCATGTATTCTATAAAATAATATATAACATTTAGCCAGTTTCAATCTCAAGAATTGTCCAAATGATTGCTAATCATTTATAGTGCACATATTTAATAGGTGAATTCTATGGTCTCTATGTTATAGAATGTTATCAGATTGTGTGATTAAATATAATATTGACCAAATTTAGGTTTGCAGTTTGTCACTTTAATTCAACAACAACTCATTGTCGTGTAATAGGTTTAAAGGTAATGAGGTTCTTTAGGTTTATTACAGTTCAGAGCATCAAATCAGTTAAGTTAAGTTAAATCATAGTTAGTCAATAATCCAGTAAGGTTTGCTTCAACTTCAAGGGTTATAATAATATTAACACGTGATGATGCTAGCTGCGTTCTCTAGTATTGATATTAATTAAATAGAAATTTAAGTTAGACACAAGTCTGCGATAGTACAGCTGATGCTTTAAAAACATTCCTCCATTGTTACAACATGAGGTCTAAATATGCGCCCTTTACTAACTATAACAATAGTAGACCAGTTCGACATAAGTTTGAGTCATAATTATCGTTTATTTAAATAAAGTAAGTCTCGTGCATACTTGACAATTCGGGTCAGATATTAGATGCTGTGACGTGCTGGCTATGCCCTTATTCTCAATAATAGGACGATCTATTGAAACTTTTTCCAAATAAATATCACCCGTGACAAATAAAGGACACGGCACTTGATGTGGCAAGCCTTACAGTCTTAACTCCACTAAATTAACCAACTTTCCCCTTCATCTTTGTGACCTTCATATTTACCTACCTAGTATAGGTCCTAGATGGGTATAACTGTTTAACTATAATTTATACCCACTACCCAAGATTTGTTGCAATAAACTGTTCAAAGTTAATTTAATCCGTACATTCTTTATTTTGTCTTCAATAAATACCCCAACTTTTTCTAATATAATGCCTTTTTTTTTCAACCTAATTTTTAGCCGATCATTATTTTCATCTCGATCAAACTCATTTCTTTTCTTGAAAAAAATTGACACCTACAAGAAGCGTCCTTTCCATCAAATTTGCGTTTTGATTAATCAGGACAAAAATTGGGGGGCTCGAATAAAAATTATTTGTCCGACTCTTTTGGCCAACATACACGCAAAAGTTTTAAAAATTTCATTTTAGTAGCTGGATTGACTGCTTTTTATGTTATATTTCTGCCTCTTGATTCTCGAATAGTTTTGTCTTAATTTTACACTGATCGCGTCCGTCTTGTGGTCACTAAAAATCATGAAAATGTTCTCAATCAGCACAAGATATGACTTCCTTAGCCGTAACCGTCACTTTTTGGCAGCACACCTCGGACGGGCAGTTAATGGAGGACATGTTTATAAATCCCTACCTTACGAGAGTAAACTAGTTTCAAATTTAAGCGATCAGGAATTTACCTTGAACCTCGGTTCTCACGCCTGGATAAAAACTTGACTAGAATATGAGTTTGAAGCGTCTATTATCCG